CTTCAATCCCTTCGCGGAAACTTCTCCAGATTTCGACTGCCTCTTTAAAGAGCTCGGATAATATCTCTCCTTAAGCACAGCATCATCCACACTAGACCAAGTAGGCCCCACTGGAGAACTCTCGGCATACAAAAACCTCTCCGAAAAAGGGCTCACAAGACTCCCTCGAAACTCCTCTGCTGTCTCACAAATTACACCCTGTACCAACAAAACAATCCAAACCATCAATACTTTTCGAAAGTACTTTTCATTAAGACTGTACGTATATACAGGTTCGCTTACTTCAGCCATGGCTTTGATCTTCAAAGTGACGTCATCGCTGAGAATGACAAGTTGTCCATCGTTCCTTGTTCTTTTAAAGAAGAGAGCAGATTCGAGTGTATGGTCTGCTGCAGTTGGAGTGACGATTTCTTGCAAACTATAAGGAGAGAAAATACCGTTATTGCCCTCACAGAACCGATGAGCAGGTGGGGTCGGTGGAATAAGGCTGCATTCTTCAGCTGAGCTCTGTACATGAATCCATCCTTTCGAAACCGACATGGTGTCTTCGATCCACTGCAGTGCAGCAGAAACCTCGGTTGTTCTTGTAAAGAAACTTCCACGTCTTAACAAGCAATCCAGTTCTCTTACAACTGAGATACAACGGTGTAGGTAATTAAAGTCAGAAACAGACATATTACTCATATTTTATAGATATAATGTGACAATTAGTTATTACCAATTCGAGGGATAACTAAAGTAGTCCCTGGAAGACCTCGCAGAAGCTGCAACTCCCTCCGCGATTTCTTGTTCATCAAGCAACTAGTGTCTGCTACAATCATCCACTTTTTCTTGTCCACCTTCATAGTGTTATGCTGCAAAAAATTGGCATAAGAAAATATAAATTGTTTTACTTTTCTATTAAAACCGTAATCAAATATAAAAAAAATGGAAAATGTGTGAGCACAATGGTAAGTTTTCCATCATTGAAAACAAGCTCGTAAAAACTTACATGTGAAGGATTAATTTCTTCAAACTCAGGATAGTTGATAGTTTTGATATCTTTCATCGTTTCCTCATGAACCGAAGGTTTCGGTTTAGCCTTGTGGTTGCTAATGGAGTTCATAGGCAGAGGTCGAAAAGGGTCCCTATCTGCTCTTTCCTTTAATACAGCTGGCTGTTTCTTCAAGCTTCGACGACTTTTCGATGCAGAGCTTGTTGAGTGACGTGTCTGAAGAACTTCTCTGTGCTGATTCTCGCCACAATCAATTGTTTTTAATGGCGATGATCTGTACAACTTCGGTTGTTTAACTTCTGATTTGCCAACTTTCTTGGACCTAAGCAGATGACTCTTCGGAGTCATATTCTCTTTGTCTGAAGTGAATATTTCTTCTTCATCTTTGTCTGGTGTGAAGATTTCTTTTAATTTCCCGACTTTCACGGACTTAAGCAGATGACTCTTCGGAGTCATATTCTCCTTGTCTGGTGTGTATAGTTCTTCTTCATCCGACATATCCAGCCGACAAATAGAAGCTTTCGAGATTGATTCGTTCTCCTTGACTGGCGTGAAGATTTCTTCATTGTTTTCAAAACTAATGTAATGATCCTCGATAATTGATTCACAATTGTAATTTTCATCGACGAGTGATTCAACCTGCAAGTCCATAGTAATCGCTTCACCATTTCCCCTGTTTCGACCGGTTTCAATTCCCACGCTTTCAGATTTACCCCTCCTTGACCAAATATTCAGACCTGATTTCATCTCTGAATTCATTTCCGAAATCTCCATTGTTTCTAGCTGAGTTACAACCTCTTTCTCAAATCGACAGATCTGATTATCAGAGAGATCAATTTCTTCAGGCAATAATGGCACCGTTGAGCTAATTTCTTGCATTGACGAACATAGATCCTCTTCAGACAATAGCTTATCTATGACTTCCGTATCATCACTCAGAGTTTGCACTTGATCATTTTTATAAGACGAGCAATTCTTTTCCTGGAAAAATCAAATTACAGAACAAGAAAAACATTAAATTTAGACTTTCCGCTAATAAGCATATTAGTTAGCAAGATATTCTTTCAAGAAAATTCCTAAAAAAATTGACCTGATCCATCATCGCCTCTTCTGTTTCTTCATCGATTGTATCTCCACCGTCCAATTGAGGCACAAATGGATTGTCGATATCATAAGCACGGCTGAGTGGGACCCAGTTAAGTCTGTATAGCCTGCTCGATGCCCCAAGAGTCAACGTATCACCCTCGTTTAGTTGCGTCTTCACCTCTGGTTCGATTCTGTTTCCAGATATCCAAGTTCCGTGCGCTGAAAAAGAAAGCCCTCAATTAACAATTACGAAAATTATTAATCCAAATAACTTAAAAAAACCTAAAATTATCCAAATTCTGATCTATATGTTCGAGAACTATCGCGAAAAACCCTAATTTAATCCAAATATCATATTGTAGAGAAAAAACGCTGATTTAGGGAAGGTATAAACTACATATCGCAGAAAAACAAAAATCAAAGTTCAAGAATGAGCGGTTAATAAATCAAAGATACTATTATCGGCCAGCAGCATAAAAAAACAAGATGAATAGGGTTTGGAAAATAGAACTCACCGGAGGATAAATCAGTGACGAAAATAGAGCGAGAAGAGGGTTTGGAATGAATGCGCAGGTGAAATCTGCTGATACTTGGGTGCTCCAACTTTATGCTGCAATCTGGATGCCTCCCCACCACCAATATCTCTTCCGTTTCGGATCCTTGATCGGCGTTTTCCGCCGCGGAAATTAAAGAAGGGTTTAGCGAAGGAGGGTTATCTAGGAGAAAGATGTTTTTCAGGATGCAATTGTTTTTCAAAACTGTGAAAACAGGAATTTCCTTCTCCTTTCGGTTCGACTGCTCTTGATTTTCAGCCATTGCAGTATAGAGAGAGAGAGAGAGAGAGAGAGAGAGAGAGAGAGAGAGAGAAATGTGTGTAAAGTTGGAGGGGAGATAGTTTTTATGGAAAAGGGGGGAGGAATTTAGGGGTAATTTGAATGAATCTTTGAAGAAGGTGACCGTTGGAAATTATGATTTTAGTCTACGCTAGCTGTGAAACGGTTTTTTTTTTTTTTTTTTTTTTTTTTTTTTTTTTTAAATTTTAAAAAATATATATATATATATATATATGACACCACAAGGATTCATAGTTGATAGACGGTTGTAATTACCCAAACATGAGGGGTTTCTTCGTAATTTCTTACTTCCGGGGTTGACCGTAATTTACCCTTATTATTATTATAGAGGAAAATAAAATAAAATTAGTATCTAATATAAACAGATTTCAGTCATTTTTTTTCAATTAAAAAAAAAAAAGGTAAATTACAACCACCCCTCAGGTATGGTCAAATTACGAAAATCTCTCTCCTGTTTGGGTAATTACAATCACCCCTCAACTATAAATCTTCTTACACATCCACCCTTGTTGTTTCAAATTTAGTGGAATTTTCTTGATTATATGGAATATTATGACTTTTGTACCTCTTTTTTATCCCATTCGAGCTCTACATTTTGAAGCAAGATGATCAGAAGATGTGTTTTTTTGGCTTGTATATATCAGATTGTGGTGCATTAGAAACTTTATTTTTACACAAAACGAGTACAAACTAGAGCACATTCCACGGAATCTAGATGATCATGTTGAATTTGACACCATAAGGGTGGAGGTGTAAGAAGATTCATAGTTGAAGGGTAAATTTAATTATCCAAATAAGAGGGGTATTTTTGTCATTTGCCCATACATCAGGGGTGGTTGTAATTTATCCTAACAAAAGAAAAAAAAAATACTCCTAACTCCATAAATTGTTCTCATGCAGCAAAGCAGACTGAACAACAATTTGTGCCTTGCTGGAAATTGCTTCCTCTTTCAACTGTTTGTGGATCATTTCATATTTCTTTTGCTTCCATTGACTTCTTTCATCTCTATAATCCCAAGTATTCAATCCAATGTATCTCTTCCCACACCTAAATATGTGCATTTTCTCTAAAGCCACTGCACTCTTTACTATATACGAGGCGAATTCCATCTCGTTTTCCGTCCCTTCGAATCCCGTAATTTCCACTCTCTGCAGCTCCTTGTGCAGTACCACCGCTCGATCTTTTCTCACTTGTTCTCCACTGTACCCCACAGAGTTCGCCTACAGTCAAAACACGAAAAAAGAAAGGTGACTAGTTTAAGTATTTACAGACTTCACATTTACAACGAAAACTCGAAAAAACTTACATCCATGTGAAACTCCTGTAGGAGGGGGCAATTTTGCAGGAAAGGAATCATCGAAAGCAGATCGATTCTACTTCTGTAACAGAGGCTAAAATCTAATCGCCTGAGGTTTCTAAACGCGTAAATTTCTTTACCCTGAGAAATTAAAAAAAAAATAAAAAAAAACACCGACGAAGAAATATAAAATTGGCTTATGCTTATTCTCTCGTACCTGAAAAAAGTCGCCTTCCGTATAAACACTCAAGGACTTGAGCTGAGGCAAATCTTTCGCAAGTGTCCGACGAATAGGATAGATACGAAGAAATTCATATAATACACGAAGATATATAGTTTGTAGCTGAGGGACATGTTTGAATATTAATTTACGCAATTTACTATCGATAAACTCGAATCTAACGAGATTAGGTGCGCCCATCTCTATCTCCTTGACGCCTTTACAAGCTTTAATCTGAAGAGACTTCAACGAACCAGAGATCCACAATTTATCATAAAAAGTACATTCTTCAATTTTCAGTGATTCGAGGCTCAAACAATTGGAAAAGATGCAGTCTAAAGCACCATAATATAATACTGTAACAGAAGTGAGTTCGAGAGTTTGGAGGGAGTTGCAATATTTCTGGCTTTTCCAATTTCGAATTAAGTAGCACCATTTCAGATGGAAATATTTCAAGGACTGCATTTCGAAAAGAAGATGGCAAGAAAAACGAAAAGGCAACGAGAAGTGGAGAACAAGTTCTTCAACACCCAGTCTTGCTAGAGAATGAACGCAAGACACGAATCGGTCCGACGACCGAGGCTCACAACAACGAAAACTGAAAGAACGGATTCTGGAACCCGAACGAAGCAATAAATAATTACGCAATCGATTAGTCACTAAGTATGAGCTATGGGCATCATGATCACCGCCACGCTTAACCAGGTCAGTGCAACGGAGAGTTACACTAGGCACAAATTTATAAAGATCCCTCCACCTCTTTGACAAAACGCACGACCTTATAGAGTCTTTTGTGGACGTACGTGAGAGGATCGAAACCAGAATTTCGTCCGGCAGTTTACTAATGAAGTCCTCGTTATTCTCCGGAACCTGTTTTTATATACAACACTAATAATTAATATATTTACTAGTTCCAACTTCCAAGTTGAAATAGAAAAAGGTTAAGCAGTATTCGTACATTGTCAAGACGATAGTTCTGCCGGAATATTGCAAACAACGCAACTCCGAGTATAGTGCAGCAGATCATTGCTCCTGCTCTAAGAGACAAATAAACAAACACGTAGTGTGCAAGTTAGAAACACAGTCAAAGTTCACACAGAAAATTATGAAAACAAAATTAAAATAAATAAACAGCTCTAGATTCGTATCAATCTTTAGATTCGAATAACACGTGCAGAAAATAAAAAGGAAACTGAATGTAAAGAAATTGAAGAACAATCAAGAACCTGATTCAATTCTTCTTACTAGGGTTTAGAAGATTCAAGTATTGACTGCATGGAGGATTTTTATGGGACGATGCCAAAGCCCACAAGGGCAGGAGCTCTCTTTTGGATGGTGGATTTTTTATACGGACTTTTTCGTAATTTTTTACTAAAGATTTATTTTCCTAATTTGCGCAAAGACAGCTTTTTTTAACACGTAGACGGTGTTTGGCTAAGCTTATAAGATGTTAAAAGAAGCTTATAAGATGTTTTAGAGCTTATAAGCTCTTCCAAAGTGTTTGGTAATTTTTTAGAAAAATATCTTAATTTTTTTTAAAATAAGTTGTTAGAGACCAAATAAGATCTTTTTAAATAAGTATCTCTACCCATCTTTTTATTTAAGATCTTATAATGAGTAAAAATAGGAAATAAAATCATCCAAACACTCTAAAAATTAATCCTAAAAATAAGATATAACAGCTTATCAGCTATTAAAAAAGAAAAAAAAAACAAACATAAGCAATTCAGCTTCGACATGGCCACAAATTCGTTCGATGCATAAAAAATGTTCACCATTCGCTAAACATAACCACCATCGTTCGATTTTTCCCGTGTCTCAAAGAAAAGCCTAACAGTCGAATATATCAAAGAAGGCTCAGCCATTGCTCCGTTTCCATAATCTCCACAAGCCAGCTTCTTTTTCACCGGTGGTATAAGCGTAATTCCAAGATCATCAATAACCATAAGATGCCTTTCCGTAAACGGGTTATTCCACATGAGCGTATTCATCGCAGGTGCCACAAACATCGGTTTACTATAGTCCCATGCTCGAACAATGCACGTCACCAAATTATCACACAAACCACCCGCAATCTAATTTACAACACCAAGAATCTCAGACGTAAAAAAATATATATAGCCCAATCGAATCCATATAAATAAATCATTGTACAAATATTATTACCTTTCCGAGTGTATTTGCCGATAACGGTGCTATTACCATAATATCGGCCCATCTTCTAAGCTCGATGTGGAGTACACTATCGCCTAATTTGTTCCATGTCGACCATTCTTCTTCGTCGGTGTAAAGAGTTACATCTTTTGGGAGTGAAGCTCGGTCGACGAAATGAAGCGATGCTTTTGTAGCAACTGCTTTGACTTCTGCCCATTCGGAGAAGCAATGGCAAAGATTAGCAAATTTTATTGCAGCCACACTTCCACTAGCGGCAAGTAAGATACGAGGTTTTGTGGGAGCACTGTGATATACGTTCATGTCTGTATTCGCGGGTTCTACGTGCGCCATAACCTGTTCGTTGTCCCAAAAGTAACAGTATGAATACAATTCGTCTCCGTCTTTAAAACAGAGGAACAAATTCACATCTCTTCATACTACCGAATACATGTAGATTCCATTCAGACAAATAGAACACAAATCAAGAAAGGCATAAATAAAAGAGCACACAAACAACTAAATTGAACTAGTTCTTGTAGACATTTTTACAAACAGCTTCTGTGCATCTGTAGACTGTTGATAACTTCATCTGCTACAAAGCTACCGATAAACTAAGTTAAATTCCAACGCAGAAAACTAATTTGAACCTATAAATTCTGTTAGTGCAATTGAAAATCAATGAACATGACTCAATATATATCCTTAAAACATAATTATTCATCGCATTCAACCAACATAATCCAAACCCATTGACGACAAATCAAAATTAGCATACCCCGCCAACTCAGAAATTTTGAAAAAAAAAAGAAGAAGATGAAAATGCAAGTACCTTGAATCAAGATCAAAACAAGAAAATGGATGATTTGGGCAGCTGCTTAACAGCTTCTGATAATAATGTCATAAAATGACATAATGTAATAATGTAAGTAGGCATCGGAGATTACGATGCATTTGTTATTTTAGGACTTGGAAAATATTACTGCAAGGCGATATGCATTAATTATTATTAATCATGCCACAATTATGTTACATAAACTAGGCCACTTGTTCTGATAATTATACCAAAATAATATATAAATAAGATATAAAAAGTAAAAAAAAGAAAAAAGAAAAAAAAAACTTGGGTAATAATATAATAAAATAAAGAATTAAGTTCATACATATACTCTTGTGAACATTCTTAACCATTCTTCAAAGTTTGTTGGAGGTAAAAATCGGACCGATCGGATCATAATTTGCACTATAAAAAAGAAAAAAATCATTTATTTTAATTCGACCAAAAATAAACCACAGAATTGTGTTTTTTTTTTCTGATCGGAACCGTAGACTTCCGAAACTCTATTGTTTATTTACGTATGATGGAAATACATAAGATATTATGTGTAATATTTTTTTTAAAGAAAAGGAAAATTAAAATTTAATCAAAAATTGAAATCTCGTATATCTTCCACTTCAAGTTCAAATAATTTCAAAAATAAAATGAAATTATTGTTCCAAAATCGAAGAAATTAGGAAATTTGATTCCCACAAATATACCTCTTCGAAAAAAAAAAAAAAATTCTCAATAAGAGATAGAAAAAGAAAAAAAAAATATTTATAAATACTAAATAATATTATTATAAAGGCCCGTGGTTTCAATCAAAGGCCCAACTCTGCGTTCTAAAGATTGAAAATGGGCCCGATAGTATTCGGGCCGAAATCGTTTATCTAAAGGCCCAAACCATGAACTACAGTTAAGAGCCTGCTTATATTAAGAGCCGAGTAGTAGAATTCGAAGAGAGAGAAAGAGAGAGAGAGGTTTTTCTGCAGAACATAAACCCTAGCTAGTGAAGATGATTATCCCAGTCCGCTGCTTCACTTGTGGAAAGGTAATTACGTATTTTCCGTTCCAAATTACCTCAGGTTCTCATCTATTTGATTCGATGCTGTGGATTGATTAAATTAGGTTTTAATCTAAAATTCGTTTTTTTTATTAATATGTTTAGGTCATTGGAAACAAATGGGATTCGTACCTTGATCTTCTCCAAGCTGATTACAGCGAAGGGTATGCTTTTTTTTTTATCTGATTAATTTTTTATTTTCTGAAGAGAAGGGAATTGTTTGTATCGATTATTGTGTTTCGTTGTATAAAAATATTATCCTTTTATTTACAAATTAAGAGCATAATACAATCCTGTTTATATGTAGAACTTGATACATTTGTGCATGTAGAACTTTCTGGAAACTGTGTAGTTAATTAATTAGATAAGAGAACGAACAAGCTTCGTATATATTCACCGACAGTTTGGTACCCTATTAAATGATAGGTTGAAATTTGTGAGATGGATAAGGGTAGATTGGGGTTTGGGATAGTGTACCCTTCGAAAGTTTAAATTGTACATGCACAGTTCATTTGGGAATACGACTTAACAAGATAAACGGAGAAGGAAAATCAAGGAAGTGGATCTCATTGCATCGATGTTAGTTATGCATAAAAGTTATTTCTCGAATTGTAATTTTTCCATGTGAAAGCAATTGAGGAAGTTTATGTAAATTTCACTAGTAACGACTCTCCACCTGAGGTTTCTAAGCATTTTTTTTATCGTTCTCTTATGGAGTTGACTTGGACTTCATGATGCATAGTTGATTTTATTGTGCAGAGATGCCCTTGATGCACTGCTTTTGGTTCGCTACTGCTGCCGAAGAATGCTGATGACCCACGTTGATCTCATTGAGAAGCTTCTCAACTATAACAGTCTCTCTCTCTCTCTCTCTCTCTCTCTCTCTCTCTCTCTCTCTATATATATATATATATATATATATATATATATATATTGTATACTTGTTTGTGTGTGATGATCCTTGTTTTCATGGATTTGTGTTTTATGGTTGGAAGTCGTAGATTTATGACTGGAGACGTGCTTTCTTGATTACGGACTATTTACCAATCTCTGAACTGGAATAATGTACCTGCCATAAATGGATTAAAAAGTTGATTTTCTGATTTGAAGACGTGCTATATTTAACTACAGTATCTAGTCCGACTTGGTTATTTGGTTACTGTCTGGTTGATGGCAAGATACAATTCTGTAGTGCCGATATAACATATCTTTTTAAGGGTGACTGCTATTTATCGAACTCCGTTTGATCCTTTTCTGTCTTTTCTTTTGTTATGTGTTGCAGCTTTGGAGAAGTCCGAGGGCAGCTGATGCAGTATGGGATCGATCGATATATCCAAGTCTATGATCGTCTTAAATCTCGATTACGAGATAGTTGTTTGTAAATGTCCTAGTTAAAGATGATTCTGGCTGTGTGCTGTTTAAGACCATATAACCATCTCTCAGAAAGACTTGTCGTCTGAATATATATGATTAGGCAATCTGTTATCTTTTAGTGTATTACTTGCGTTTGTTTTTACCGTTGGGTCGGAATTTCAACCTCGATAAACGTGTCATTTTTTCCCCAAGTTTTCTTCTTGGTTTGGTTTTAGTTATTTGTGCTAAGGGAAATGTGTCTCGTTTTTTGGCCTTTGTTTATGTGCAGCAGATTTCAAGAACTTTGCCATATGTTCGATTTCTTAGTTGGCGAAAGAAGAATCAATGAATACGAAGTTATAAGTTGATTAGTACTAGTAACAGCAATTTCGAAGCTTGTTTATTCGACCAAAAATTGAACCAAAATCATGATACTGTTGATAAATTTTCTTGATTTTCCAAAAGCAAATGCCGACAAATAGCATCGAAAAAACCGAATAATTGACGTAAAAGAAATGTTATTTATTGAATAATGACTTGTGCGGTCTTGGAAACAGCTTGTCCTTGTAATCGTTCGTGAATCGTTTTATACTTGTTCTTACTCCACGGAATTCGTTGTATCGAGATCCACGTGCCAGGTCCCTCGCGTGATTTCAGGTATACCTTACAACATCTACTTATGTGCATTTCCACCAAGTTGATTGCACTTTTGAGGATGTACAAGGCAAACTCCATCTCGTTTTTCGTCCCATTAAATCCGCCGATTTCCATTTTCTTTAGCTCCGAATGAAATACTATGGGCTGCTCTTCCACCTCTGGTTCATTACCCATACCATTTGTCTGCAAAAGAAAACACTTGAAGTAAATTTGCAACAATTTTCTCAATCATAAAAAAAAAATTAAACCCACTTACATTCAAGCCAAACTCCTGTAGGAGGGGACAACGTCGCAAGATTAAAACCAGCGAAAGAAGATTCATTTTTGATAGATTCATGTTGACATCCAATCGCCTAAGGTTGCTCAACGTGTCGATTCCCGTGTGTCCGTTGCTCACCTGCGTATTTAAGAATTTCGGAATTTAAGAATTTTGCACGGCAAAAAAGTAACATAATCGAGGGCGGTTCTCGTACCTGTAAACTATCCCCCGCAGTAACAAAATGCATTGATTTCAGGTGCGGCACGTCGATCGGGAGTCTCCCAAAAACATAAGGAACAATATTTTCCACGACATAAAGAATCATACTTTGCAGCTGCGGAACATGATCAAATCTAAGGTTAACCATTTTACGAGCATCAAACTGAAACAGAATGAGATTACTGGCATATAACTCTATTTCCCCTACGCCTTGACAACCATCGATATAGAGTCTCTTCAATTCTAGATGGGGACCGCGTACACTTAACTTATGAGGACATTTGCAACAATTAATTGACAGTGATTGGAGCTTCAAACAATTCGACAAAATGCACTCTATCGCACCACGAGAAACTTCAACAAACATAAGCACGAGGGTTTGGAGGGAATTATATTGGATTCTCGAGCTTGGCTGCAGCGAGCACTTGGACAATCTCAGATATTTCAACGAGGGCATTTCGGAAAAAAGGTGACACGAAAAAGAAAGATCACTGGTATCCGAATATGAACAACAACACGTCAGACAGAGTTCTTCGACGCCCAATCTTCCTAGAGAAGAAATGCAATGCTCGAATCGGTCGTTGACCGATCCATCTAAACAACAATGTAAACGAAAAGAATGAATCTTGGAACCGGAACGAAGCTTCAGAAATTCATCCACTGAATTAATGATTAATTTAGGGTTGTGGAGGCTATTTTCGGCTAGAAAGTTGCCGCAGAGCGACTCGATGCGAGACAGAAATCCGTGAACACTCCTCCACCTCTGCGAGGAAATGCTCGTCTTAATACCGAAATCCGCATGCTTTAAAAGGTAGTAACAGTCCAATTTGATTTCTAATGGCAGAAATCTATAAAGATTCCTCCATCTTCGCGACAAGAGGCTCGTACGCACAGCATCCGTTGTAGACAAACACGAGATAATTGAAATCAGAATATCGTCTGGCAGTTGACTTATCAAGTCCTTGTCCCTTTTCACCTTCTTCGCTCCACCAGGGCCTAGCTTCATCTGGAAAAGAAAAAAAAAAAAAAATTCAGAAAATATATGCATGCATGGCTTCAGAATTCCAAAAGTCCAGGAAAAGAATAATTTTTTTATTGCAAAGAAGTTTTTATCCGGTGCATTGCGACTACGGATTTGTATTAGTGTAGCAAAAACAGCAATTGGAAACACCAATGAGAAAATAAATTGCTCAGAAAAGATCATTATTTCTGAGTTAGAAGAAACACAACCAACCAAACAATCCTTACGCAGCTAGGATCGCAATTAGGGTTTAGAGAATTTGATGTTATATGTAAACAAGAGTAAGTGCTGCTCGAGCAAAGAGAATTGAAGTCTGAAGATTCCATAGCCATCTATATAGCTAGGATTTCTTCTTTCAAAAGGAAAAATAAATAAAAATATTACCTTCCTCGCATGCCCGTTCCTGAGAATTCGGGGGCCCTAGGCGAGGTTTAAAGAGCAACTGAAAACAGGGGCCCTTATTTGATAAACCATTTTTTTTTTATTAATGAGTGTTCGAAATTGAACATATTAAAAAAAATATAAATAATATTTTCTAAAAATGATGAAATAAAAGATAATGGGGGTTCGGGGCGGTGCCCCCAAAATATTTTTTGAAATGTATGAATATAAAGTAGCTAAAAATATGGAAAAAAAAATTCAAAATTAACAATATGATTTGCTGGTTCACTTCCTCCATAATCTTTATAACAAATAGACTTCATAAATATTTATAAACTTGAATACACTAATGAATATTGATTCTTATTTTAGAATAAAAATAAGTAATTAAGACATTATAAATTTAATATTTAGGGGCCCCAAAGTTAAGAAAATTGCAAAAATATCTATTGATCATTTAGCTTAAATTTATTTTAAAACCGATGTTCCAAAATATTATATATAATAAATTTTTAAAAACAAGTACTAATATATAAAGTGTAAATAAAATAATTTGGGGGCCCCAAATTTTCGTAAAAAATCGGGAGCCCTAGGCGACCGCCTACTTCGCCTCCCCTCCGAACCAGCCCTGCTTCCTCGTTAATTGCCGAATTACGAATTCTTGTGTTCTCTTTACAACTTTGCCCTTACAAACGACACCGTTTTTTGTCGAAATCTCGCTTCAATTTCTTTCCAACTGTTCCTTTTTTTTTTTGCTCCTCGAACTCGTGTCTATTATTGTTGTTTTTCTCTTTTCTTTTTAAATATTTTTTAATTAATATTTTATTATTAAAAATTATTTTAAAAAATTACAAAATAAACAGTAAATTGTAATTATATATATATTTTTAATATTTATATTTTATTTTTGTTTATTTCTATAATATCTTATATTATTATACATTATTTAAATAAAGGATAATATATAAAAAAAATAATAAAAAAGAATATGGCTCGAGCTCGACTCGTCAGAAAGCTCGAGCTCGAAAAACTCGAGTCCGAGTTCGAGCTTTTTCGAGCCGGCTCATCAAGCTCAGGAGTCGGCTCGCCTCGTTTACCACCCCTACTTTGAGATAATGGGTAATGCAAAATTGATTGAAGATGATGGGGACGACAGGGACTACTACGAATCCGGTTTCGCTCAAGAAACTGAATCGAGATTAGTGAGCTTTTGCCATGGAAACATTTCTCGACATCTTACAAAATTAACCCATCGATGGCTTCTAGAGGAAAATTACAAGTTATTATACTTGTTGATGATAATAAACTACTATCACTAATTATTTTGGTGCTTTTTTAAACTTCCTTTTGAAGAGAAAACCGAGCGCCGCACCGACTATTGGCCAGCTCGAAATAACGGCTATATAAGCAAGAAGCCATATTGACTTGTTAGTTTGTCTCGAGAGCTGACGCATGCACTTTTCAACAATACTCGAACCACCACTATTTTCAGCATCAGGGGCAAAATCGGGTTTTCGCCCACTGCTAAAAACATGGTTGTCTGTAACTGAAACTGCTTGATTAGCCTGATCTTTATTTTCTTCAGAAACCTCGTTTCCCATCGGAGCCACCATTCCATCAGCTACATTAAGATAAGGCCCTTGATCGATCGAAGATTGCAGCGGTGACGAATTAGGCCCAATATTTTCCGCCTGAAAATTACGAGAAAAATGTATTATTATCGGTTACTTATGTGTTTCTGCAAGTAATTCTCCAATTATACGAGTAAAATAAAATGTACCTTCTTCTGTGTATGCATCAACGAACTCGAAAGTAGAGCTCCAAGGTATTCATTAACTGCTCCCACCCACCTAAACAAGAAATCATTTTTTTTTTCAATTTAAATATGTCGGATTTTCTTGCGATTATCACGACTATCTACGTTAAAAATAAAAAAAAAATAAAAAAATAAAAAGGGTACCAGAGGCGAGATCCAGATATGCCTTCAAAGAATGCCAGGTGTCCACCGTGTTGTGTTGTAACAAGGACTACGTTTTTATTTGCTCTGTTATAAGTTTTTTAAAAATTACGATTACTATAGCAAACTCAAATCTAGTGAGAGAAATGGACTTAGCATTTTTATTCCATCAACAACATATAAGTAATTATATACCGGCATTCATCCCAAGGAATAGCTTCTCTGGTGCACACTGGATCATCCAACGCACTAATGCAGAGAAGCGGTATCTTCACTTTTCCGATAAACGAAGAACTGCTACACCGCCTATAGTACGTATCCACAGTCTTGACGGAAAAAAAAAACAAAAAAAAATTCAATATGTTAAAATATTCAGTGTGCTTCTTCAAGAAAGACGAGAGAGAAAGAGGCACCTCGTAATTCCCAACAAGACAGGTGGCATGTGTATCAAAATCCCGAATAGAACGTGACTGCATAAAGTACGCGAATCACCGATCGGAATTTTTTTTAGTAATACATTTTCCCGGAGGAAAAAAAAAAGAGAAGATATTGAAGCCAAAAACGAACCTTTTTAATACCATCCCAATTAGCAAGACGAGAATAACGGGTTTCGTGTCTGCATTGCACAATAAAGTACTTGTAATTTCAGTCTCTTGCATAAGTCCACCATATTATGGAACGATAAATAAAATTAAGTGCATAAATAAAAACCATGTAAGAAGGGAATGCAACGTACAGCTGTGCATAACCTTGAAGACCAATCGTAAGAGCTCTGTCGTAAAACGTTTGGATAAGCCTTCGAGATATAAACCTCGAACCAATCTGAGAAGTTGGAAATAAAGGACAAAAAAATTCCGATTAAGATATGCTATTATTAAATTATTAAATTATTAAAAAGATAAATGTTCGGTTGTGAAATAATTTACATAAAACCGACCAAGAGATCCCAAGGCGAACAAACTGCTGCAGCACCTGCAATTGGAACATTTTCTCCATCCTCTCCGAGATATTTTACCTAAAACCATCAATATTAAAATAATATTAATTTATTTATTTTAATATTATATCGAGAAAAGCGAGAGAGTTGGAATTATACCAAAATGTTTGCACCGATGCTCGTTCCGACAACAAACAACGGAGCTTGAGAGTATTCTTGATGTAGATAGTTAATAACTTCTCGTACATCTTCGGTCCACCCAGCATTATAAAAGCAATCAGACTGTAACATATCACCATTCAAAACCAAGAGTCAGAATACGAGATAAATCTTGGTTGACTAAAAAAAAATAAAAAATCCCGAGGGTAATTTTTTTTTCTGACTAAAGTCAAAGAAAAACTATCAACTTGAGTGGACTTACAGTAACTGAGACACCGCCCAATCCTCGGTGATTACTGACAACCACATTCCATCCACTTTTTGCCGTGTTAAAGACGAGATGTTTCAAATACTGCAATAAACCGGTGAAATTTAACTCAAATTATATAAATAACTAACAACTAACAGAAAAATAGTTCTCGTAGAAAATTGGCATCGGAATCCAGTTCTTACAGGAGAAGCCGAATCACTGGTTAGGCCTGGAATCATAATCACAATAGGAGTCGTATCATCCTTAGCAATCGTATGATTATTTTGAATATCTGCTCCAGAAACTGCAGCAAGTAAACGCGAAAAAATTAACGTAAAGTACATAATTCGATAACAGAAGCAGCCAAAAACGTTATAGAATATTCCGAAAAAGAATTTGCATTTTGCGAAGCTCACGTAAGTGCCAGCTGGATTAATTGATCCGATATTCGCTAAACCTATGCATAACTTTCTAAAACCAAACTAGCTAAGTATGTGCATGTGCTGTGTATTTAACGAACTTCGGTATAGTTAATTTACCATCAGAGTGCATTAGCCAATCCAGAGCAAACATGCCACCATCGGATGAGTGAAACATCTGTCTGAGAATCATACACACAGATCACAGAAATTATATAAAAAAAAAAATAACCCGAAGCTGTTTAATTTCGAATTCTTAACCGAGAAGAGCGAGCATCACCTTCTATAGGTAAACAGTGGAGGCCTCCCGAAGAAGTTCAGAAAAGAAGTTTGGATATGTGGACTCGACAACCACGGCGTCACCAAATACCTATTCGTAAGTACAACAATTGCATACAAAAAATCAGAATATCAAATCAAGAACCAACAAAAGCCAATCATGAGTTAGGTTCAAATAACCATTACTAATCACATTCCAAAAACCAACATTGAAAGTGCAAATTTCAAATCAATCGTTCCCATAAACCAACAATTCAATCAATTTCTTGAAAATAGGAAAAACCCGTGTCCTAAGGCCTCGTTTGGTTGGGAGATTAGCCATGATTAACTAATCTCCAATAACTTATTCGGTCGACCCAAAAATATTATGTTATCATCGCATATCATGTTTTTTTATTGGATCAAAGTCCAATAATATAATTCGATATCATTAGATTATTTAATCTTATCTTAACTAATCTTATCTTAGCAACCAAACGAGGCATTTTCATTTTTCTGGGTTTACCTTCCGTGGAGTGTTCGACACTTGGAGACAACTCCATGATAAATCTCGGAGCTGGGATTGTATGTCAGATAAATGGATCCACCGCGAAACCCGGTTAAAAGATCCTTAACAAAATGGAACTCCAAGAAATTGTACAGTAAAACAATCAGTAAGAAACACACCGCCACCAAGTAATGCGATAAGGGTATCGCAAAAGCCGACCGGAAAAGAAGCTTGTAAGCTTTCGCCGCCGTGTCGGGAATTGCTTCAGAGCAGCAATCCATGGTCCAGAAAAAAAAAAAACCGATGATTTTGATTAGAAAAAAAAAAAAAAAAAAAAACCGATGATTTCAAGAAACATGAAATTGGGTGGGATTCGGTTTCATGGGAAGAGTGAAGTTAAATTTGGTGAGGTGGGTTTGGAGAGATTCGACATAATCATAATTTAATGTTGGTATAATGCAAACAGAGGCAGAGGGGGACACCTGTCGGTGGTGGGAAGGAAGAGCGTTGGAGGTTTCGGTGCGGTTAATTGTGTGTTATAGTTTACGGTTTGAGCTAAAGTCGTTTGTTTGGTTGAATCATTTATTTTTAGAATGCGGTGTATTTACAGAAAAGCCCCAACTAATTCCCGAAATTACATTTACCTCCTTGTAAGTTTTCCTTATTTTGCAAACATACTCTCATTAAGGATGATGTAGAAAACGACATACATAGCTACAAGTCTATATAACAATTATCTACAAGCTAAAAAGTTTTCATTGAATTTTGTTGTAAATAAATCAAGAGAGATTGATAGATTTACGAGTAAATTTACTCGATTAGACGAGAAACATTGTATAGTACGACAATTCATATATCGATACACAATCAAACGTAGAGTACGGTTAAATATTACAAGTAAATTCAAGTATACTTATAATATTTTAACATTTTTTTGATAGTATATTAGTATTGAATTATGAAAATATATAAATCCAAAGCTAGAGAACTTTCATTATAAATAAATAATTAAAAAAATAAACTAAATTAAATAAATAAAAGTAGAGACTAGGGAAAATGACATATCAACTTTGCTCAAAAAAATAATCAGTTGATGAATCTATCAACCAACGTTCGAGAAAATCGTTCCAGTTGGTCGGATGATTCTCTTTTTCTACCGAAATCCCGACGTACGTAGCCGTTTCTCTTTGGAAAGTATTGCCGCTAACCGAATAAGCGCCTCCTCGTTTGTTCCTTGATCACTAGATGGACCATATTCTCCAGTACGGAAATCGAATCTTGAAATTGGCTTTTTCAGTAACTCCTCTCCAACTTTGACGAGATTCTTCAGATTCTTCTTTGTTACACCAACTAAATTCTCGTCCTGAAAAATTATATATATTATACATATGTGAATAAATTAAATTAAATCTAAACTTTTGAACTTGATCGATCGGAATTGATGAAGAAGAATTAAATTATAATACCTGGATTCTTAGAAAATTTCCACTAGAGTGAAGGGCGCCAACAATAATGGAATCGTAGTTTTTATTGATGTCTTGTATAGTTCGAGAAACTAAATCCAACAAGGGGTTCGTTATACGATTTTTCAACCATCTCAGAATACTCCACTTTGATGCTTTCTTGGCGTCGTACTTACGAACTTGTGTCGAACCAGTTCCTAGAAACAATACTAGAAATCGACCTTCTTCATTTGGCATCGAACAACGGCCGATTCTTTTCAGTCCTCTGCTTGGGCCCGCTATTACGTCAAAGTAATCCGCAACTCGAGCATCTTCACCATCCAATTTCTGGAATAAATAAATACATCCATGCATGCATCAAATATTGATTGAAAAATAAAAAAACTCAATAGAAGAATATCGAAAAGTAGGAGCTAATATTTACACGACCAAGATCGAAATATATATACTATATCTACCTGAAGTTGTGACTCGAGAAATTCGAGGATAACTCCGAGGATTATCCCTCGAACTCCACCACCGTCGATAATCAAAACCCGGGTTAATTTTCCGAAAGGTTGGTGCTCCATCTGAAATACTTCTGATCTTGATTCCATCATGCAAGAATTCAACTTAAAATCTTAGTGCAAAAAATTCAAATTAAATCTTAGTGCAAATTGAATATTTCAATGTATACGAGTGAGTAGGGATAACGTTTTGCTAGAGTTGTATTTATAGAGTTCTGAGTTATGTTTTAGGAATAGAAATTTCCATAACTTTGGATTTTCTAATAAGGAAATTTCAGAAAAATTGGAAGCAATATAATGACGTGTCAGATATCCAGTGATCTGGCAAAGCTAATTACAATCCTTGATATATACAGCTGTGAGCTGTCTATTTGAATTAAGGGAACTTTGCTCTTGATAAAAAAAAAAAAAAGAAAAAAAATTATGGAATGTATTTTGTTAAATACGGTATATTATCTACTAAAAGATCAGAATTTTGTTTCCTTAAATCGCTAATAATAGATAATTCATAATTGGCAAATTATCTTATTTGGAATATTTTCAGAAAACAATTTACACGTCATTATTTTTTTATTTTTTAATGAAAAATTATATAGTTTGGTTAAATGTTCTATTTATTAATTCTATTTCGATTAAAATTGAGAATGTGATAATATACGTATCATTAATTTTTTTTTTAGTTTTACTTTTTAGTAACTTCGACAAAGTCGTTACTCTAATTTCGCCTCTTATACATTTTTTATATTTCAAATTGAATAATAATCCTTTTTTTTATTGGGTTATTGTCATTGAATATGTTTAGAAAAACACAAACTAACAAATTCATTAAATAAGATTTTGATAAGAAAATTCAAATTAAAATTATCTCAATATATTAATTTATTTAACTGCACCTGCCTTGGTTTGTTTGCTCCAAAATAAAAATAAATTTGTATTCCGCACAATATTACCATTATTCACAAACAAGAATAATATTAGCCAGAAATAAATTATTTATTTATAGTTTTCTATAATAGATAATAACAACATATAATTACTAGGGTGATCATACATAATGTAAATCTGATTTTTAATTAGTTTTCGTTTGTCTTTTAAGATTAATATATATATGTTAGATGAACCTTGATTTTTCCTTTTAAAAAAAAAAAAACTATAGAAATAAATAAATAAAAATATAAAAAAAAAAAAAAGGTGGAATTGCCTTTCAAAATTGCCTAACTTCCTTTCACAATCATGTACAAAATTCTACAGACATCTGAAATAGTTGAACATTGAATAATAAGGATTGATTAATCAGGTTGGGGAAGTTTGAAGGCAACAATTCCACCCAACGCCGCCGCGGTGCCGCCCCATACAAAGGCCGGTAGATTGCTACCTCCAAATAATGAATCCAATGGTCCACTTATCAAACTCACTCCCATCTGTTTATATCATGCAATACTTTGTTATATACTATAGTATACACTTATCACAACTACCCCTGAGGTAAAGTCTATTTACGAAATTACCCCTCATTTTTCCATAATTACATTCACCCCTTATAATGTGTAGATTTCTTACATTAATACCCTTTTGTAGGGAGTGGATGTAAGAAATTTACAAACTGGAGAGGAGGTTGGATACAATTTCTAAAAAACAAGGGGTATTTTTTGTAATTTTACTTTACCTCAGGGAGGTGGTTGTAATTCATCATTTTATATACAAAATTCGACGTAAAAATACGTGCAATCAGACATCAAGTACAGTATCTACAAAACCGACAATATTGTACATAAAATCGAAACTTACCTGCGGAATTACAATTGCGAGATTAAGAAGTCCTAACGCAAGCCCTTCAAAAAACGAAAAAGAACACGTTGAAAGAATGTATGTTACATATTGAAATCAACTGCACATCAGTTTTGTGATTTGTTTCACCTGGTGTAGCATCTAAAAAATCGGAAAAAAAAAAAACGAAAAAAAATCGAAAAAAAAGGTAATTTTTTTTATAGAAGAATTATTGTGTGCTTGCCTTGGCCAGTGCCACTGTCTTTGGAGTATATAGAAGCTAGAGCAAAAGGGATGCAATAAGTAACCTGCAAATATAACACAAGAACATTCAAAAAAAAAAGGCGCACGTTAGAGAAACCTAACAATAATCAACTAAAACTAACCGCTTGTGGTATGCCCAAGATAGCAAAGAGAGCAAAACAAGAAAGCTTCACTCCAAGAGAAGGTGAAACAAGTGGAGTCCCTCTCTCCACCACAGCAGCTTCTCTTGCACTCACAGCCACGTAAGAAATCGCCACCGTAAACCCCATGCAGACCGCAAGTACGAAATTCGTAAAGCTCCAAAGCCGTTTTACGCCCCCCAATAGTCCAATCAACCCCTCCAAAAACAACGAAACGACCCCCATCGTTAAAACATACATCATTAGCCCCAACGAGCCCAGTCGAACGCCTTGATGGTACAGACCAAGCTCCTCTGCACTCCCCTCGATTTTCCCGCCGAAAACCTCCTTCCCCATCCAATCCGTATCGTACAAAAGAAACGGGAAAAACCCGATCCAGTTGAGCGCCGTCACGACGTACAACACCCACATCGCCCTCGAAGTGCTCCTCGCCGCCACCGCTATCTGCACGAAGAACGAGGGCTGCGGCGGCTGGGCCCACGCCGCCTCGCCGGCGTTGTTGTACCCGTCTTGCATGTACTGCATGTACGCAGGATCGAGCCTCTCCTCGTCTATGTACCACACCACCAAAGATATAGTAAATGTCGTGAAGAAAACGGACAGTAAAAAGCAAGTCTTGATGTTCGCGCAGTTTGTATCACAAGCGTTCGTTTTCGTGAACGGGAAAAAACGGTGGAGATCGAGCGCACCCGAGGCGTACCCTAAAACGTTTCCGACGGCCATGAAGAAGGCGAATAGGGCGTTGCCGAGTGTCACCATTGCGTCACTGTCGCCCGAGATATCGGCCAAGAGGGCCCTACACGGGCTTTGGATCATATTATTCGAAATATCCAACAACCAAAACCCGAGTATGAAAATCGTGGCTGCTCTATGTTTGATTCCCGGTTTTAAAGAATCGCCTAAGTTTCTGCCTATATCTGCAGCGAAGCCTATGAGGAGGACACCTATAGAGAGGAGAAGGGTACCAGCTACTATAAAGGGGCGTCTCCTTCCGAAACGAGATGTACACCTGTCGCTGTGGTGGCCGACGATTGGCTGGACTATAAGGCCCGAGATGGGCCCGCATAGCCAGACGAAGGACACCCATTTGTGGCTGAGGCCTAAGAGCTGTGTGTATGGGGTTAGGAGAGAGAGCTGTAGGGCCCACCCGAATTGTACTCCGGCGGCGATTGTGGCCACTAAGATCAACTTCTTTAAGGTGGTTTGATCTGGAAGTTGAGGGTTAGGCTGGAAACTAGTTTCTTGATAAACCATGATTTGGTTTTCCTGTAATGAAAACAAATCTAGTTTTATCTGAAGAGAAAAAAAAAACTATTACAAAAGAATGGTTAGATATACAACAAATGATATGAACACACACAAACAGTCAATAGAGAGAGAGAAGATTGTTTCTCAATGTGTGTGTGTGTGTGTGTGTTAGTGTGTGTACATTTGTTGTTTGTTTCAGATTGTGAGAGGTAAGAATCCAGACAAAGGGTAACCTACATAACTGAACAGAACAGAGAGATTTGGTCCATCCATTTTGAGGATAAATAATATAAATAGTAAATAAGCTATTTCAAGATTCTTGCTTGTCCAACAGAAAAATATAAGGCTCTCCCCACGGGATAATCTCCGGTTTTCACTACGTGCACAACAACGTTAACTACCCTTTTTATTTTTTCTCATTTAAGAAACACAGTCACAGCAAAGTAACATAGTACAATAAACTATACTGTCACGCTTAGTGTATGTGTACACATTTTTTTTTTGTAGTTTTCGACACGAGAGGGAGAAGAAAACGGGGGAAGCTTTAAAAATTACAAGCGCCCCAAAACGAACACTAACATATGCAATTTTCAATCCCCCCCCCAAAAAAAAACAAGAAAGCTTTAAGGCTACTAGCTACCGAACATAAGACATTTTCAGTGAAATCCACCGGCACTACTCAAAGCCTTGGTTGATGCATCGTCAGAAGGTGGTGATGGAAGCATTGTGAGTGCGAAAATACCGCTAGCGGCAGCAGCCACCGCTCCCACCACGAACGCCGGTAGGTTTCCGCCCCCGAATAAGTCATCCCACGGCCCACTTGCCACAGACACCACCATCTGCCAGTAGCCAAAGATAAATGCAGAGATATTACACATCAATTTGTCATTAATTACCCTGTTTTAAGACAAGATGTAATTATTATTTTACCAATAAAATATTACCTGTGGTATAACTATTGCAAGATTTAGAACTCCCAGGGATAGACCTGAATATACAATATCAGTTCAGAATCAAAACTGAAAAGATTTTATATATATATATATATATATATATATATATATATATATATATATATATATATATATATATATATATATATATATATATATATATTTATATATTATTGCAGTCTGTATATATACCTTGTCCAGCACCAGAGTTACTGGAAAATATGGATGCCAAAGCAAATGGAATGCTGTAAGTTATCTAAACAAGAGAAACAGAGAGATGTTAGTAGGTTTTGTATCGTCTTCGAGATGTCTCAAATGCTCCAATTACATAAAGTATGATACAAGTAACTAAATGACATTAATCGTGATTTGGATTGGGAAACGTGATTCCTATGAGAGAACAAAGCCAAAATTAATAAGTGCAGTTGAGTTTTGTCATATGGATATAATTGCTTTGACAATATCTTAATTTTTATCCAAAGGAACCTAATCTTTACTTTTGGCAATATGGAATGAATTCGATCATACTCTTTTACTTCAAAATGATTTTTCTTACCAACGATCTAATAATTGCGCTCGTTTTCCCAACCTTAAAAGGAGGCAAATTAAAGTATTCGCCTTTTCCTGCTACAGATTCTTGTGTAAATTCAAAGTAATGAGCCAAATTGTGGATATGGAACTTTGACAATATGTAGAAACAACCGAAAAAATCAATAATCCCAAAGTCGATCATTATCTTGAAAATGTTTCTTTTAATCCAATAATCCATAGCCATGTAAATATGCCAAAACTGCATTAATGACTGACTCCTACTTTTTGGATCTGATCGTATGAATTTTTCAGGCAAGAAATGTGCGTATCTAAAATCAGATTCAACGTACGATGAACGAGAACATTACGTAAAATATGCACCGAATTCAACGCATGTGATCTAATTGTCTAATGAATTTCAAGAATAATAGTAAAAGAAAATGTAAAATGAAATTGGATTTACGAAAAAAAAAAAAACTCACCGCTAGAGGAATGCCGAGGACAGCGAAGAGGGCCAAAGCCCCGATCCTTACACCAGCCACCGGCTGCATAAGCGTGGCGGCGGTGGCCTCGTCACCGACGTACCGCCGCGTGTGCTGCGCCATCTTGGTGACCAAAACAGTCATGGCCAAACAAACCGCCAGCAAGAAATTCACCAATCCCCACAATCTCTTCACCCCACCAAGCCCACGCGCCAAGAACTGCACACTCAGAGAAGCCAAACCCAACACCACAGAATTCAGCATCAGCCCCAACGCACCGGCGCGTACCCCTTTGTCGTACAAGTTTCCCTCACCAACCTTCCCTCCGTACACCTCTTTCCCCATCCAATCAGTGTCGAACAACAGGAACGGAAACCAAGCAATCCAGTTCAGACACGTCACCAGCAGCAGCATCCACATGGGTCTAGGCAAGTCCTTGAGCGCACCGAATAATTCCCCAAACACCGGGAAACCCCTCTTTTTAACCGTCGCCGCCTGTTCCGGCGGAGATGCGGCGGCGGCTTTTTCGTGCACCATTGTCAGTGCGAGAACGGTCAGAGTCACCAGAAGAGCTATGGAGATCAAAAAACAGCTCTTGAGATTTGCGCAGTACAAATCGCAGGCGCTGGTTTTGGAGAAAGGGAATATTCTATACAAGCGGGTGTACGCGCCGGCGGCGTAGCCTAGAACATTCCCCACCGCCATGAAAAAGGAGTACAGCGAATTTGCAGCACTCATTTTTCTCGCATTTCCGCCTGATAAATCAGCCAACAGTGCCCTACAAGGCCCCTGCAAAAAAAAAAAAAAAAAAAAACCCCAAATTTTAGGGAAATTAGAAAAAAAAAAAAAGGAAAAATCAAGGATCCGATTAACAAAATTCTGTATGAATTTTCGCATGTTACCTGTAACATGTTGTTAGCAACATCGAGAATCCAAAATCCAACAACAAAAACAGTAATAGCCCTAGGTTTGGAGCCCTTCCCGGTCGAATCGCCGGCTGCATGCCCCAAATCGGCAGCAAAACCGATGAGAAAAACAGCCACCGCGACGAGAGCTGTCCCGGCGGCGATGAACGGCCTCCGCCGCCCGAATCGGGAGGTACAGTTATCACTGTAGTATCCAACTATTGGCTGGACCAACAAACCCGAAACCGGGCCGCACAGCCAAATGAAAGCCGCCCATGTGTGGGGTATCCCCAATAACTGCACGTACGGCGTCAGCAGGGAGAGCTGTAGGGCCCATCCGAACTGCACCCCGGCCGCAATCGCCGCCACGAGGATGATCTTCCGCAGTGGCTCCGCCGCCAGCGGCGGCGGATTCTGCTGCTGCAGCTGAAAGGAAGACGACGTCGCAGTCGCACCACTGTTTTTCACCTCCATTGAACTCGATCTCCCTCTCTCTCTATATATATATCTCAGTAATTAAAACCCCTTTCTCTCTCTAAAATGTGTGTATATCTGTGTATGTATATACATGCAGAGGAGTAGAGTGGTGAAAAATGGGAATGAGATTGGGGGTATTTATACTGGATTTGGCGGGGTGGTGAGATTATCCATATTATCCATATTGGATTTGAGAGTAAAAAATAAAATAAAATATAAAAAATAAAAAAATAAAAAGATGAGAATTTAGTCAATAAATAATTTAATTCATTTCATCTTTTTTGCAGCCTTTTTGTGATTACAAATTTCAGATTTTGTATACCCTAAATTTAATGTCTTGGCCGTGGACAGTTAGCTTTGCCTTTTTTCCTTTTTATTTATTTATTATTTTTGTAATTTCCTTTTCTTTACAACATTTTAATTACAGCATTTTTTTTTTGGTAAATTTCACTCAACTTCCTGTAATTTGAGCTTTGTGCACACGACCCATTATATTTTCAAAACAATTGTCTTCCTAATGAGCATGATTATTTACCAAATGAAATACCACAGGGGGATTATGTGCTATATTAAAAGTATAGGGGTTCATGTGCAAAAAACTCAAACTACAGGGGGTTAAGTGCAATTTACCCTTTGATTTTTTTCCTTTACAAAATTTGATTACACTAATCATTCTTGAATTATTGGATTTATGACATTTATCCAATCCTTAAAGTTTAAACATATTGCTTTAATTATTTTTACAAAGTCCTCCATAAATGTGTATTGGATAAAACTTGCTTTTTTCTACAAATTACAGGCTGTTAATTATATTAATTAATTTGATCCAGAAAGTGTTTATGTGTATAGGATTAATTGCATTCATATGTATATAATTATAAACCATATTTGATTATCTAATTAAAAAAATATAAAAATAAACAAAAATAGGTGGGCGGTGAAATTTAATATATTTCTTTTTCCTTCTAATTTTCCCACCAAACTATCAATAATAAAATTAAATAAATAAATTAAATTGGACAGTTAGCTGAGCTATTCTATTTCTGTAATTTTTCTGTAAATGTAAATGCCAGGCATAATTAGTTCAAAAAAATTGAGTTTTATTTTCTCTTTTAAAAATTATATTTATATTTTATGAATCATCAATGAGTCAGCATTTACATCATCATACTGAACATCTGCAAAATCAAATAATAAGTTAAAAAAATTCATAACATATTGTTGTGTTACAGTATAAGAAAGTCAACAAGAAGTCAAGACTGAACATCGTGTACATGAAATCACAAGTCACATGGTAAGCTGATCTATTATTTGTTCTTTTTTTTTCTTTTTTTTTTTTAATTTAAGAGAAAATTTAATTGCTTACATAAACTTTCATTTAATATATTATTTAAGTAATTTTTAGAGTCTAAATTATGTGATCCAAATTTAGTTCTCTATTATTGATCATTCATCAAATCTCAAATTACACATTTATGGTAGATTTCAAAAGTGATTTTAGAGTTCAAAAGTGATTTTATAAGAGTTCAAATCATTTGGACTAAATCTCAATGACCATCTTTTTCCTCAATAATTGATGTTTTTCCCTTTTTATTTTACTGATTTTGTTTCTTTACGAAAGACGAAAATCACACTAGACTGATCATGTGTGACGAGCACGACCTAGCGATCAAAATGTCAAATTACGAAAATAAACTACTCTTGCTTTAGTGATTATAATCACCCCCGTTGACTATGTATTTTGATTTTCTTACGGAAAAACCTTTCATTCAGTAGGTAAATTTGACATCGCAAGGATCAACGTATCAGACAATACATAATTGACTAATTGAGGGGTATGATCGTAATTATCCAAACATGAGAGGATTTTTCGTAATTTAACCTTACTTTAGGGGTAGCCGTAATTTTCCTTATATTTCACATAGTAAAACTCACATTCATACAACTATACAAATGTGTATTAAATATAAAAATAAACGTCAAATATCACATTATTGTACTAAATAATGTGTGATCTACTATTGAAGCCTTTAGGCATCTTTTATTTTATTTTATTTTATTTTATGTTATTTTATTTTATTTTATGTTTCAATGATAAATCAAAGAATAAAGTTTACATATATCGTGAGAGAATAGTTTTTGTTTGCTTACAGTCATGTCATAAGATTTGATTAATCTTAATTAACCCTTAAGATAGCTTACAGTCATGTCATAAGATTTGATTAATCTTAATTAATCCTTGATATATTACTAATCAGGACTATCTTTCGCTTGATAATACTAATCACGACTGTTTTGTTTGATGGAAATACTAACCCTTATATCCAAATAATGTATTATTACACAATATGAAGATAATATAATATTCCCAATTTTTTTTTTTTTAATTCAATTTTTCTTTTTTCCTAGATAAGATTAAATTAATATTGTCTGTAAAAATACAATTGGTGTAAATAAAAACTGGGAGAATAAAATTGATATATGGACGGTCGATGTTTAATTAGAATCAGAATTTTGTTTGGATAAAAAAGTTGAAATATCGCGTTATCTAATCCACCGACATGCTAATTTTTGCAATAATTAATACTTAATAGTATATTTTAGCATAATTCTATTTATACTTATAGGCAGATATATATATATATATATATATATGTACATTGCATGTGGCATAATTATTTCTACGTGACATAAAGTAGAGAGTATCTAATTTTGTTTTTATATTAATAATTTTATATCTAATATTCCAAATAAATACAATTAATTTCAGTCACGACACTAATAAAGTAATATGCTAAATTGGAAATAGAGCCGTGAACTTAATATTAAGTGTTGGAGTCCAAAAATTCGAGACACTTGTAACGAAAATAAACTCAATAATTATTTTATGAATTACTATATTTATTGTGATTTTTTTTTCTTTTTGAAAAAATAAAAATAAAAATAAAATAAAATAAAAATGAAGCACAATCCTCGAAAATCGGACCAAAAGTTTTTAAGGTAGTTAGATTGCAGATGTTACGTCTGAAGTCAAAATAAGTCGCCGCTTGTACAATTCAATTATTATGTATTTATTACTTTGGTCTTTGAAATGCTCAAAATTTCACTATTTGGATACCCTATTTACTATTTAGGGCCCACACGTTTATATATTATTGGAAATTACCCAGAAGTCCCTAGAAAATATTCGGAGTTTCGTTAACGGAATTGCTTAGAAAAACTACAATTTCGGTTTTTCTTTTTGTTTTTAATGACAATATGTAAAAAAATTCATAAAAGCAGAATAGATCTCACTAAAAGTAAATATACTTCTTTTCTGTACAGATACCCGATGAAAATAGCACCCGACGAGCACTCCCCCGCACCCCATTTTCGTAATTTCACAGAAAAACGAACAAAAAATATATAAAAAAAAACAGTATACACAAAGATTAAAACTCTTTACAGCGCAAACTTGCTAAAATGGGCCAGGCACCAGAAGAAAAAAAAATTCAGACACTCTCGTCATTGAATCGCGTCGACTCGATCAATGACATCCAACGCTTTGACCCGATCGATCTCGAAGTCAATGGACGGAAGAGAAAAAAGCGTCCTTCTAATAGGGAAAGGATCGTCCTCCCTCTTGCTGCTATGCTCACTCGTCGGTGAGTGACTGCTGCTCTTGCTGAGCCTGTTGTGCTTGCATAACCTGGCTGTCGTCGTATCGAACTCCTGGCTCTTGCTCCTGCCAGGTGTCAGTTTCCGTTTGCTGACTTCTAGAAGCATCTCACGGTCCTCGACCGACAGTGTGGAAGGTGGAGAGTTTTGCTTGTGGCTTGACAGATGGAGTGTCTTCTGATTGGGCGATCTGATCGGGGATTTTACGGGCGATCTGATCCCTCCGTTTGCAGCCCTAGATTGGGTGATGAGATGGTGAAGCCACACCACTAAATCGAGAATGTGGGCTTCGGTTTTCTCCTTGTCCGCGTGGTGAAGAGTTTCGATACGGAGCAAATCGGTTTGACCGGAGAGTTTACGGTTCATATCCGACCCGGTATTCGCCCATTCTCCAACCCAACCGAATCCATGGTGGGCCCTGTTTTAAATTACAACACATAGTCAAGGTGTGCGCGAGTATTTAGGAAAAAATAAATATTCGACAGGCAGGGTGGAAAATCGGACAGATCGGATCATAATTAACACTTGCCGAAAAAATTCTTTTTTTTTTTTTTGGAAATGGAAAACTAATTCCAATCCCATTCCAAAAAAAAAAATTCAAAAAAATCGAAAAAAAACGGAATAAAAAAACTTAGTTCCAAAATCAGAAATTTTTGGATTGGATCGGATAGGTGGAATTAAAAAATTCCAATTTTTTTAGTCACCTATAATACAAAATGCAAAATAATATTGATTTTTAAGTGTAATTTTTTGGAAATTAAAATCGGATCGGAAAATGGAATCTAATATGTATTCCCAATTCCTCCCAAAAAAATCAGAAAAATCGGAAATTGGAAATCGGAACTTTCAGAATAAAAAAAAAAGTTATTCCAAAACCGGAATTTTAATATTGATATTACAAGTGTAATTTTCGGAAAATAATCGGAATTTTCGGATATTAAAATTGGAATCTAATTTGTATGACAATCAGTTAAAAAGAATCGGAGAAATCGAAAATTGGAAATCAGAACTTTCGCAATGAGTAAAAAAAAAATTATTATTCCAAAATCGGAAATTTTTAGATCGGAATCGGTGCAATTCGGTATTTCTATTCCAATTTCCACCCTACCGACAAGTGCGAGAAATCACGAAAGGGCAATTAAAGAGAAGATTTTTTATACTTAGTTGTATTGGTGGCCATCGGGACCAGCCACTGCAGTGTTTTCTCCATTTCTGCCTTGATTTGCGGAACAGTAAACTGCCGAATAAATAAATATATATATATCAGACGAATTCGTATAACTGACTAATTAAGAACCGAATTAATAATTTTCTTTGAAAAAAAAAATAATAAATACCTCTTCATTGAGATGAAAAGATTGTAATTTGTTCCGAAGAGCTGATTTTAGACACGGTGGCAGTCCTTGGTAAAGAGAATCTCTTGTACTTGGTGGAACGGAGCTCGATCTCGTCACCTGATTAACAAAACATCGATTAACGTTCAGTTATTTTAATTAATCAACGACTAATCATATCAACTAAACGAGCCATTAGTGTATGGATAAATTCATCTACAAAATACGGATAATAAAACTCACAAGTGTATCAATCTGCGTGATGATATTTGCGTAATGAAGCGCAAGTCCGGCAGATCCCAACTTCTGATGGTTGTTTTTCACCGGCTTGTTTTCATCTTTAACAATAATTATCAACATTAAAAAAATAATAAAAATAATAATACAATTATTTTTGTCATAGTTGTTGAACCACGTGTCGAGTTTCGAAGCGTATGAATTAATTACCACTGCTACCAAATGCTGAATGGATCTCCAAATGTAGAAAGTGAACAATGTCGACAAGCTTCTCCATCACCTTAACATAATTTAAAATATACGATCAACTTATATATATACATATACATATATATATAATTTAAAAAAATAAAAAAAAGCTGCTTTACTCAAATAGAAGACGAAGTGTAGAATTGCTACCTCTTCCAAGATTTTAGACCACAACGACTTCTTTTTTAAGCTTTTCACGTGTTTCTTTTGACTCTTCAGTTCCGCTCGTAAAATCGAAAGGCTGTCTCCTTCACCAAAAAAATTGAAAATAAAAAATAATATATATTCATACTATATAACTACCAACATAGTAGACGTCATCAAAAGTGCGTACAATTTATTAGGCATGTGTGCAGATTTCACACAGTTTTGCATCATCCGTAGATAAAATAAGTTTAAATATATAGTTTCCGAAAAACTTAAATTAAAATTAAAATACGAAATAAATTAGAGCGTAAACTAATTACCTCTCTGCGCAGCAGTGGAATTATCGTCTTCTTGAGCTTTTCGTCTACAGTCCTGTTCGAATCTGTCCAGTGCATGCATTTCATGGTATAGTTCCTGCAACCTAAACATATTAAATATCCTTTTTTTTATAAACGAGTAATTTTTCAATCGAATATATTCAGCAATTTCTACATCTAATGATGAACTACGATATAAAAAAATAAGCAAAGGGAAACAAACTCGAGATAACTTACAGCAGTGAAATGAACCAAAACCATCAGTTGCTCTATCTCGGTTTCCGCTTCTGCTTTTAATTGTTTGTGAGGTGTGAGTTCCGTTTCCAACCTAAATTTGTCGAAGTGTTGACTAAATATTATTTTGAAAATTTAATCAATGTATAAAAAATTGACAAAAAAGACAATATTCGCAATTACTTCTCAAAATAACGGTCCAAGTTGTGCCACTGAGGATCCTTACACCGATTCCCAAATCGAATAACTTCACCCAAAAATACTTTCAATTCATCCCTGATACATATATAGATAGTTAGATACGTTAATTCTTAATTTCTTTAATATGTAAGAAGCATATGATAAAAATGTGAAACACGTGTTAAATTTTCCAAGACCTTTTGTCAGAAGCAGCAATTCTTAAGAGTTCATCAATATCCGTCGATATCAATCTTTGAACACCTTCCGAAAGAAGCACCACCTCCTTTAAATTTTGAATATTCTCGTCTGAAAGGGAGTGCATTAAATTGGCACCTTTAACAACCGTATTCGCCACTTCAAAAGCCAAAATCGATATTTTGAGTCCTTTTGTAGCTATCCCAGATGCAAAACCACCACTAAGATTCAAATTAGTCATGCTGCTACCAAGTGTATCCAATACATCTACGGCTTTTCCGAGGCTAACTGTACCCGCTCGGCCTAAAAGCGAACTCACTTCCGAAACCTGCCAAAATTAAATAAAGACTCCATTTATTTTTATAAAGACTCCATTTTTTGAATAAAGACTCCATTTTTTTTTATAGACTCCATTTTTTAAAATTAGGAAGATACCTTTGCAATTGCAACTTGTTTTGATCTTGCTGATCTAGATTTATCAGATAAGGCCCTGGATAAACGAGGTATTCCATCATTAATGTCGATATCCGAGTTTGTACCGTAAGAAACCGAAGTCAACTCCGGGAACGAGAATGGTTCTCTAGGATGTTTATCGGAAGTAGCTTCTGTTGCTGGAATGTTCTCTTCTCGGGTGTTCAGTCCACGAGGCTGATAAACTAATCCAGGTCCGTAAGTGAAGTGTCCGTTGACACCTGGCAGTGCACCGGCCAATGCAGAGTCATCGGTTGACCTTCTCGAGCAAAGTCCCCCCATTGTAGACTTGTAGTGACAGCAATTCTATTCGGCACTAATCATCTGATTCAATCCCCAGATTTATAACATCAACAGATACTTCCCGAGCAGAAAAAAAACCCGCAAACCACTAATCGAAACCGGATACTTAAAAAACGGAAATCTGATTCAAGTTCAATTCTGAATCTCACACCAACTGTATACGTGTGGCAAAGCTGAAACTGCAAATCAAGAAATGAAGCTAAGCTACATAAGTCAATTGTCAATGCACAAACTTAATAGCAGCAACGAATAAGTACAGCTTCGAAACAAGAAACGGAATAACCGAGTAATAATTAGACTAAAAGAAAAGTCAAACAAATGACAACACAAAAGAAGACTCCAAGCCCACAAGAACAGTTTACTAACATTAACAAATGAAAAATCAAAACCCCACCCAATCCCTAATACAAATTTGAGGATAAAAACATCAAATTCAACTTCAAGAATAAAAAACCCACTTTTCCAAGAAGGTAAAGACAACAGCTTGGATCTAAGATAAGAGAGAAAGATCCTCGCCCACGTCTCTTTTCTATTACACAAGGGGGCAAAAATTCATTACACACAGATTAAAATACTGTATCTAATCTATAATAATGAGTAGAGAAAAATTAGCAGATTGGGTGTGGCAAATGATAATCAAAGATTCAAGAAAGTACAAAAGGGGGGCATTTTTTATTTTTTTTTCTGTGTCTCAATCTTTCAAAAGGGACTTGCTTGCTTCTTACACTGTTTCACCACTTGAAGTTATCTAGGCGGTGTAGTAATAAGTGGTGATTGGTTTTCTGCTACAAAACGGAAAAAATGAATCAGAAATCAAAGTTTCAAGAACTAGGTCAGGGAGTAGGGAAGCCACTCCCTCTCCTCTCTCTCTCAATCTCTCTCTCTCTCTCTCTCTATATCTCTCTTGTCTTCTCTCTCTTCTTTTTCTGGTCAAAACCCCAACTGTGTAAAAAAAACAAAAAGGGCCTCTTGAATAGTAATTATGGTAACCTTTTGGAGTCAAGATTGTACAGCTAATTCATGTCACATTTTTGAGCTAATTTACCACTGTGATTTTTGGTCTGTTGTCAATTTGTTAGAAAATTGAGGATAAACGATAAGCTTAAATTAGGATATTATTTTACTATATTTTATAAAAACTGATTTTATTTTATAATAAACTATTAAAAAAACTTAATAATCCTAATGGGGTTTGAATTTTGAGGTGTTGTGTTATTAACCTTAACCAGACTTGAATTAGGTTGAATTAATTTGTGGGAAGAGAACCATACGTCATAAAAGTGAAGAAAAAAATAATAATATAATCCTCAAGGCCCCATAACAATAATAATAATAATATTAAAAAAATACAAAAAGAACTTAGGAAAAATCTTCAAAAAAAATAAAATATATTAGCCGTTCTTCCCACTCCTTGTGAAGAAACTATTTAATTCAAATTGAATATTAATTATAATAATTAGAAGAATAAGATATATACTTTTCTCAGTTGAGAACCATGGATCCAAGACCAGGTCAACTCAGTCTATTTTTCCAGTCAAGAGAATAATATATACTTTTTAATTTTTTTTTATAATCAAAATAGGAGTTATGATTAATACTTAGCAATCAATAACAATGATGATTCTCTCTCTCTCTCTCTCTCTCTCTCTCTCTCATGCATGAGCTTTGCTATCTGATATGAGGTTTTGTAGTTCATCAGCAATGGCTTTATGGCAGAACTGATATTGCTCCTGTAAAATAAGCAGACAACACATATGTATAAATATATACATATTCAGCAAAATATTCAATAATTAAAATTCTAGCAATTTGTAATTCTCAAAAAAACAAAATATTACCAGTGTCTGAACCATTCCGAGTCGCTGTGATCTAAATGTGGTTACGGTATTAACAAGATCCAAAGCACTCATATCTCCGTTAAGAACTCTTTGGATTGTGTTGTGTATCAAACAGTAAGTTCCAGTTCTTCCAATACCAGCACTGATAAATCAAATATATGTCAGAATTTATAAGAATAAATAGAATGATAAAATCGACAAATCCCATAATTTCGACAAACCTGCAATGCACGACGATTGGGCCAAGACACTGTGGGCCCGCAGATAGTCGTTTGAAGATTTCACGAACTGCAACAGTGTCTTTCGGTACTCCATAGTCCGGCCATTCTGTATACTGAATGTGCAAAACCGAACATGGTGCCTCGTTTGACTGCAAAATGAGACATGCATAATATGTGTAACACACTTTTATTTGTAATAAACGAAAAATCGCTGATCAAGAATTTAATTTTACAAGAAGATAATTTGTCTCACCCCCTTGTTTTTCACTTCTAAGCATCGCAAGATTAACGAAGTTTCCGTAGTTTGTATCCACTTAACGGTGATGCGTACATTACCAAACTCTCTAGCTCCATCCTCTGCTTGGAAGTAATCTCCACATTTCACTGTCTGAAATTTAGTTTCGTTTCAAACGTATTAACTAACAGAATAGAAGAAAAGCTACGATTGTCAAATAGGAAAAGGGTAATTCTTGGTCAACCTTAACAGAAGTTAAGATTCACAAAAATCAGCAAAAGATCGTAACTTACACACAAAAGAAATCACAAAGATTGTATTGCTTACGTGGTTATTTTCGACCAATCTGGTGAGCATAACAATGGCAGGGCAGTGATATTGCATCACCATTTCCCAGAAATCTTCTGCAGTGTGCGGCAGTGGACCTTGAGTTGCGATAAACTGAGAAACGCCCTCAGAAGCCTACAATAAAAAAATCGAACGAACAGAAGATTAGTATAATACGTCACATTATACTCAAAAAATTAAGGGACTAGAAACGCAACCTTAACAAAGCTTGCATTAATATATCCAGTAGGCGAAGGTCTGTAATCCTTGTGTTGATTCAAAATAACCCTGTTATTGTCATCTGAAAAACAAATGAAGTTATTATTAAAAAACAAAAACTGTTATTTCGGAAAGATGATTCAATTTTAAATAAACGAAGGAACATATGAATCGCATACACGGTATGACATTATCGTAACGATTCTTGCTGGAGTTGACACTGTCAAGGGCAACGGTGCAACTACTCCTCGCGTCGAATGCTTTCATTCTGTCCTGTAATAACGAAATTCGACTCTCTACATTACGTAAACAAAGCAAATAGCGCCAACACCAATTGCGTAATATTTCAACTCAACCATGTTTGCAAGCTTAATTTAAGTGCAATATAATCATCTTCATAATTTGGATATCTCCAGGAATTAATGAAATCCCCATCTAATTTTCAATTTACAAGTTTCATCATTCACTAGCTAGAAAAGCAAAATGCAGACAGAAATTAAATGCACTACTATCAAATTAGAAAACAAATCTGCAACAATTTCGGAAAATACCTCTAAGATTTGAAACTCATGGTGAATCGATTGCGGAGAGCTTAATTTTTGCTGGAAGAATTTGAGAGCTTCGGAGCAGCTGCGTAGCTGATCCTCCGACAGGGCGCGCCGCTGAGTGGTGGTGACGGCGGAAAAACCGGAGTTTTTGGCCGCCGTCGTAGAAGCTAATGCGGCGGCGGTGGTAGAAAAGGATCTCGTCATCTCCGATCTCGTAGATCTCACTCAGTCTTTGAATTATTATTATTATTACTATTTTAAATAATTATTAATTTTTTTTTATATTATTAAATAATTTTGTTTTTCTGAAGAATATATATATATATATATATCGATTTGTAAGTACACTTCGCAAAACCCTACCAAAACCCTGTCATGAATTTTCTCTACCGCTCTCACTGCTCGCACCTCCGCCGCAGCCATTTCCGCCACCAGCACATCCGATCTCTGTACGACGGCGTATTCACCCTACAATGCCCCCGAGACCGGGGCCTCGACCACGCGGTGGAGCGTGAGAAGCACCTCAGAGCGCTCCTCAATCTGAAAAACCTAATCATTTCCGAGCCATCAAAATCAGTCCCACTCACCTTAATCACCCAAGCAAACGAAACCATAGGGTTCCCGTTTCGGCCAATCGAGTTCATCCGGAAATACCCTTCGATTTTTGAAGAATTTCATCCTGCTACCCTCAATATCCAACCACACATTAAAATCACCCCCGAAACCGTTTCTCTGAGCTCCGAGGAAGATTTGCTCTACCAGAGCACTACTTACAAGCAAGAAACCGCGAACCGCCTTTTGAAGTTGTTGATGATTAGTAGGATTAATAAAATTCCGATCTTATTGTTGGATCAGCTGAAGTGGGAGCTAGGTTTGCCGCAAGGATTCGAGAAGGTCTTAGTCCCCGAATTTCCGGACTATTTTCGAGTGATTAGTAGTAATAATTTGGGTGAAATCGGGAAGGAGCTTGAGTTGGTTTGCTGGAGTGACGAATTTGCAGTTCCGAGTATGGAGAACAATAAGACAAAGGATGGAAAGATTCAGTTTCCTTTGGAGTACTCAAAAGGGTTTGAGATGGATAAGAAGTACAAGAAGTGGGTTGACGAGTGGCAAAAGTTGCCGTATTTGTCGCCTTATGAGAATGCGACGAATTTAGCTGTGAAAACCGATGAGTCCGATAAGTGGGTTGTAGCAGTTTTGCATGAGCTTCTTAGTCTTTTTGTAGGGAAGAAGGCAGAGAGGGAGACATTGCTTTCTTTGGGTGAGTTTTTCGGGTTGAGATCGAGGTTTAAGCGTGCGTTTTTGCAACATCCGGGTATTTTCTATGTGTCGAGCAAGAATCGGACACATACGGTGGTTCTGAGGGAGGGCTATAAGAGGGGGATGTTGATTGAGAGGCATCATTTGATGGATATGAGATTTAAGTACGTTAAATTGATGAATGTTGAAAAGAAGGATGAGGAGAAATCGAAAAGCAGCACAAAGGCAAAGAGTGGTGTTGATGTGAAGAGTAGTAGTCAAGGAGAGGAATTGGATGGTGATGATGTGGAGGAAGATAGTGACGAATCTGAAATTTATGACTCGTCCGATGAAGAAGATGAGAGTGACGATTGCAGTGAGGTCTCTGAGGGTGAAAAAAACATGACCAAAAAAAGGAAATTTGGAGCAAATGAGGCAAATGTTGAAGAGAATAATACTAGGAAAAACGTGGAGAAGAGAAAGAGGACAAATGGAAGAAGCAATGACGAAAAAGTGCATGGAAATTCGACAAGGTTTTCTAGGAGAACTAATGATGGGGGTGGTGAACATGTGGCAAGGAGAACTAATGGAAGAAGAAGCAATGATGTGGATGAAAGTTCTACGAGGTTTTCAAAGAGAACAAATGATCGGGGTAGTGAAAATGTGGCAAGAAGGACTGATGGTTATGAAAGTTCTAGAAAGTTCTCGAGAAGAACAAATGATGGGGGTGGTGAAAATGTGGCAAGAAGGACTGATAGTTATGAAAGTTCTAGAAAGTTCTCGAGAAGAACAAATGATGGGGGTGAGGAAAATGTGGCAAGGAGGACTGATGGTTATGAAAGTTCTAGAAAGTTCTCCAGAAGACCAAATGACGGGGGTGGAGAAAATGTGGGAAGAAGGACATTTGGAAGAAGAAGCACCGGGTTTAATGAAAGTTCCACGAGGTTTTCAGATAGAAGAAACGATCGAGGTAGTGAAAATGTGTCGAGGTGGACAAATGGAAGAAGCAGTGATGGTTATGACAGTTCTAGAAAGTTCTCGAGGAGAGCAAACACTCGGGACATGCCGAAAACACCTAAAAACCCGACACATAAATTAGATTTTGAAGATAGGAATACGAGAAGAAGTCTTGGAATGAGGACAAATGGAAGAAGCAAAGCAGAGATTGAGTATAAACTTTCTAGAAGAACAGATGTTGAGGGTGGTGAAAAGAAATCAGAAAGGGCCTTGTAGTGGAAATTCAGTCTCCTCAGCAAGCAAATTCATCGATTAGGGTTTGTTCTATTGCGTAAGTTCTTGTTGGCAATCATATAGAGTAATCTTGTCGGTTAACGTGAAACATCTTTTGATGTTACTTATTGCTTAGTTAAAATCATTTACGTGCATTGTAGTATTAAGTCGGATCCAGTGGTTATTATGATCTGTGTCTTGAATTTGAATCTATGATGTTGGTTTCTTCACTGGTTTTTGTAGTCTTGTTTAACATAAAACTCTACCGATTCAAAATTGCAACAAACTGCTTCGTTTACTCCCCCCCCACCCACATCCACATCCATTTTATTCTTGTCAACCTGGAAATTATTATATGAAATCGAATGTCGCAAACTAGATAAATTGAAGTCTAACGTGTCGTTTCTTTTTTCACTTTGACAGGCTCTACTTCCAAGACATTCAAGCAATGGTTAATGCAACAAACTAACATAAAGCATACGTCGAGCAATTTGCTGAAGGATCTGTGTTTTTGGATCTTGATCGTGTTTTTCAACTTACAAGTAAGTAGTTTCCGAATCGTGTTTTTTGGCTTACAACTAAAGAGTTGGTTGAGATATTGCTCGAATTCTTGATTATATATCTCGTCACGTGATGCTTTTTTGGCATAATATTAAACTGCAAAGTTGTATGTATTGTTGACAGAAGCTAGTGCGTAGAAGCACTTATGCGGAAAGGCATAGATCACGGAACAAAACAACTTTTTCGGAAATCATTAAACAAACTTATTTGATTTGCTCTTCTTCTTTCTATCTAGTCATCTTCTTTGCTGTCCAAATTGCCTCTGACTTGACCACTCTTTTCACTAGAATCAAACTCAATGAGCATTTGTGACATTGTTTATTTTGCTTTCTTTTAGATTTATGAAAGCAAAGAAAAAGATGTATAATTCTATGGAGTTTCTGATTAAATAATGTCTCGATGTGGGATCAATCTCAGCATATCAATAAAGTAGAAGATGCATTTATGTAATCTTTGATTTCTAATTATTCAATGTTATTGGATTTCTCAGTTTTGGGATATTCCCTATTCTATACCGCCACTGACGACGGCTCAATTTGTCTGCCTCCGCCTATTCCGATTCGAAAATCCCGATTCTTGATTTGATTCTAATTTCTAAGAGCAGTTTCAAAAAAAAAAAAAAAAAAAAATTATCAATATTATTACCTATTTTAAATTATAGGTGAATGAAAAAATAAATGTTATTGTTTTTTATAATTTTGCTTATTTCAGGTGTATGTAGTTGAACAAAAGATTCGATTTGAGGGCACTGTGCTGTATAATATTGTGGGCCCCACCAAAAACTAAATTTATTCTGTAAAAACTGGACACTTGTCTTTACATAATCCCACTTTCTCCACGAACAGACAAAATAGTATGCTTCATATATAAGCACTCACTCTCTTATTTTTTAAGGTTAAAAACACTTTACACCCCTAAAGCATACCATACTATATGTAATACTTCCTCTTTTGTACAATTTAATTTTATTTTAAATTTTAATACCTTTAAATTTTCTCTTTTATTGGACGGAATAATTAAAAAAATAATTAAATTATACAACTAAAAATATCCATTGAAAAATACAATATTTTAAAATTTAAAAATATTATCTTGCGTTGGGTACATATTTAATGATTAACATCTAATTGTTGTTGGATCAATTAATCGAATACATTCGTATTGATAAATTTTAAGAAACAAATACATAATTAATAGTAATCTTAAGTATTTAAATTTATTTTAGTTCATTAATTTCTTAAAAGATATTTTTCATTTATTGTTATACAATATATGTTACTTCCTAATTCTTTTTGAATAATTTAATTCTGGTTACTTTTCATTTTTATATGATCCAATAAATATTAGAATGTTATGTTTATTGTGTTTTAAATTTTAAGATACTCGCTCCGTTTCAAAATAATTGTCGTTTTAGATTGTTGCGCACATATTAAGAAAATTAATAAATATGCGTGGATTTTAGGAAAATAAATATAATACCCATGTAATTAATTATATCTCAGTTAATTAAGAGTAATAACTAATAAGGGTATAGTTGAGAAAACAGTAATTAATGCATCATTGGAATTTTAACGCGACAGATAATATGAAACAATAAAAACTTCCCAAAGCGACAGTTAATTTGGAACGGAGGGAGTAGAATAATTGATGTTGAGGGGGGAAAATGATACTAGGGGCTAAGTGTTACATTGGCCATACTTCAGGGGTGCAAAGTGTATTTACCCCTATATTTTATTTATTTATTATTTTTAATGAATCTTTTGATTGAGCCAATAGCCCATTTGTATCTTCACCATCACTATTACACTTGATCCCCATTTCCAAGCCTGTAAATTTAGTGGCTTTCACAGCTTCACCTTCCCAATCCGTACAACACAACACAGCGTATAATATCGAGCCAGCACACGCAGCTTGAGCCGAAAGCAAGCCGAGCCACAGCCCACTAAACCCAAACCCGAGCCAGAAAGCCAAGCCTAATGCCACGGGCGTGCCCACAAAGTAAAACGACCCGAGATTAATACGGGCCGCCCAAACGGGTCGGGCCGTGGCCCGTAAAATACCGCAGCCCGTTGTCTGCGGGCAGTTTCCGAGCTCGCACAGCCCGATTATCGGTAAAACCGAAGAAACGAGAGATTTAAGCATTTCGTCTTTTGTGAATAACTCACCCCATTTCTCCCTAAATATCACTGTCCAAATTATGTTAATGAATCCAACTCCAAATGCACATATCAAAGCCACTATTGCAGCTAACTTTGCCTTGTATGGCTTCCCACCACCTAGCTCATTTCCCACCTGTAAAAGATGATCAATTTTCAAGAATCTTGAAAAATAACTAAAAAGATACGAGTGTGAAGTTACGATATTACCCTTGCGGAAACACAGCCGGCTAACGCCATCGGGACGGTGTACATAAGCCCAGTCGTCTGAATCACAATTCCGGTGGCGGCCAAAGCGAGCTTTGGATTAGGCAGATAACCGGCCATCACCGTCACAATCTCGTACCACCACCACTCCAAGCATATTCCCGCGCAGCTAGCCACCGCCATCTCAACCAGGGGCCAAAAGCCCCCACCACACACAACGCCACCACCCCACTTCCATCCCCAACCCCACCTCCCATAAACACACACATACCCCATCAAAAGCACCAGCATATGCAAATTCGTCAGCACGGAAGCCAACGCCACCCCCTTCACCCCCGCCCCCACCAGAACGTAATTCAACGGCACGTGGAAAACCACGGCCACAAAAGTGCACCACATTTGAGGCTTGGTCACACCTTGTGACCTCAAATAAACCCTCAACGGCTGCAACAAAGTGTTGATCAAGAGATCGGGGAGCGAATATAGACAATAAATCGCAGCCGTTGATGTGATCTCTCTATCCTGGCCCAAGAAGAGCATGATCGGTTCCAGATTGATCCAGAGAAGAGCGATGGGTACCGTTGCTAGCGAGAGAATAAAGATCATGCGGCGGAGAGAGAGGGAGAGTAGGTCAAAGTTCTTGCTACCATGGGCTTGGCTGCAGACTGGCTCGAGCCCCGATGCGAGACCTACTAGAACAGAGTAGCCGGTGATGTTTGTGAACCCGATCGAGAGGGCCCCACCTGCTAGCTCTAGGCTTCCGAGCCTGCCTAAGAAAACAACCGAAACAACTGCTCTAATGTAGACGAGGATATTCATTGCTGTTATAGAGAAGGCCATCGACCATAGCTCTTTCAATTCATCCACCACCTTCGAATTTTCAAGAAATTGAAAAAAAAAAATTTAATAAAATAACATAAAAGACGACGATGAGAAGAAGAAAACTACAAAGGGATATCATAATTAGTTACCTGGGACGAGGAAGGTGATTTATGCGAGTAAAAGTCCGGGCCTTTTTCAGACATCGCAACCCTGAGAAATCGGTTATTGCACTAGTGGTACTATGTATAAGTACTATATATATGCACAAGTACTAAATGTATATGATTAAGAATGTTTGGGCAGTGTCTATGGCAAGATTTCTTTAACAATAATTTTATTTTAGAGGCCTACAAAGTGTACCGTTGATCAATAAAGAAAGTTTCACTTTATAAAAGCCAGAAAAAAAAAATTCGATTACTGAAAACGACAATTACATCCTCGTACGGTCCACACACTACAATGATTAAAATCCGATTACTGAAAACGAAATTACATGTCTGAAACAAACAACATCATAATAATTTTACGTTCTCCATCGGGAAGCAACTTTTGAGTGAAAGAAAGCTCGAGTTATGAAGCATAGCTGTCACATTAATAAAATTGTCATTATCATCCTCGTACGGTCCAAACACATCGATCCGTGTAGCAGCTTTAGTCTTGAGGGAGTAGTGTACCATGTACAGCTCAAACCATGCCATCAACATGTCGCCGTTCTTGAAAACTTTGATCGGACAAACAAAGTTCGGTAATTCGAAATTACCACGAAGAAACTCAGGAGATTTTCTGACTACAAAACCCCTTGTCCAAGATTTCTCGTCTCCATATTCCTTCATTAACCATATAACAATTTCATGTTCACATGTATTATCACACACACATAAATACCCCCCCAAAGCTACTAGGAGAAACTCCGTACGGTTTTCGCTTCTTCCCATTAGGGGAGGAGGAGAAAACGTGCTAAAGATTTCCGTCTCGAGATCGAAGCAAGAAATCAATTTGAAGCCCTTCTGCAAATCTGTAACCAGCCAGTGAAGACTTCCGTTAATAGCAGTCGAAAAACAATCGTGCTCCAACATGGCGCAAGGGGCAATGCTTCTCCATATTCCCGTTCCAATAGTGTGAACGTGACAAACGCATTTCATAATCCTCACCACGTCCACCGTATCGGGATGACGAATACACTCTTGTAAAACCCTAACCACCTTATACCGGCCGGTCATTTTGCAAACGCCAAATCCGTAAGTTACTAGTACGGAAAAAGAATTGAAGATCCCGGCATACGGAAGCTGGATATACTCGCGGGTGATTGGATTGCATATGTAAAGATTATTGCGATTAATTATCGACCTCAAAAAAAGTAAACCATTAGCCGAACCCTCTAATTGAGAGGATTCCATGAATTTATTACAGCAGAATTCGGTGACCGGAATGTAGTGACGGTTGTGGTGGTCGAGATCGAGTTCATCTACAAATTCGAAAATTTTAAAGTACCTGGAGATTCTGCATGTAACTACTCCCGACGATGATTTAGAAAGATGGGAATCGACGAATGCGCGAGTCTGGATAAGATTCCGCCATGTTTTGCAAACACTTTTGCACGTTACAATGGTTCGAATCGGAAGTCTTGATACAATTTCGATGATGATCTCCAATGGTAGATATCTGAAGAAATCTATATTCATTTTCAGATTATTAATTCAATTAATTTATTTTTCTCAGTACGTAATTAAGTATATATATAGAGGCATGTTTAGAAACTCTTGAGTTTTCTCTAATTACCTTGTTCCCAATGAAATGAATCTGCATAGTCAAGAAGGAGATGCATGCATGAATCGGAAGATTAAAACTATCTCGTACATGCATCAGTAAGAAGAAATTAATGCCAAATTAAATTGAAATTAGTAACTATCTTGTTGAAGTTACATTTAATTTAAGTGCATCAAGATTAAAAAAATTAATAAAAACAACATTGTATATATGTTACATTAATAGAAGTATAGAACCATGATTACAGATCTAATTCGCCCATTACGCCCAAATCCTGGCCCTCCAAATCTTATATCAACCAATGAAGATTACAATGTTGATGATACATTTAAAGAGACTATATTTCATCGGAAAAACACACGATTACATACCGGAAATACACACAACCATCAGAATGGTCTTACGTTCTCGATCGGGAAACTAGTTTCGAGTGAAAGAAAGCTCGAGCTATGAAGCAATGCCTTCAAGCCACCGATATCCTCATACACTCCAAGCATATAAACTGGTGTCGTAGTTTTCGTCTTGTTCGAGTAGTAGAAAATGTACAAGTCCGACAAAACCATCAAAATATCACCATCTTTGAAAACTTTGATAGGATAAGCAATCTCACAACTTCCACCATAACCACGAAGAAAATCGGAGTCGGATATTCTGACGACGAAATCCTTCGTCCAAGATTTCTCATCCCCGCATTCCTTCATCAACCACATAACAATTTCGTCATCCGACGTGTTATCACACACACATAAGTAATCCCCCAAAGCTACCAGTTCCAGTCCCCCAGGACGTCTTTCCCTTTTCAAAAGAGACGGAGGAGGAAACGTGCTGAAAATCTCCGTCTCGAGATCGAAGCAAGAAATCAAATTGTAGCCCTCGAAATCCGTTACCAGCCAATAAAGACTTCCATTAAGAAACACCCCGACCGAGTACCAATCGCTTCCGAACGGAGCGCCAGGCGCGATTTTTCTCCATGTTCCTGTTCCAAGAGTGTACACGTGGCAAACACAATTGGTATATTTCAGCAATTTAAATGTATGAGGATCACAGATACACTCATGGACAATTCTAACCACCTTGTACTGGCCAGTAATTTTGCTAACCCCAAATCCGCAATTTACTAATGTAGGAAGCGAATAAACAACCTCGTAATTTGGAAGCTGGATAAACTCACGAGTGAGTGGATTGCATATGTGAAGAGCAGAGGGTTCGGATTCAACTACGCCGAAAAAAAGCAAACCTTTAGCAGAACTTTGTAATTCAAAGGATTCAATGAAATTATCGCAGTTGAATTCGGTGACCGGATTGTAGTGAAGCTCGTGGCTTTCGAGATCGAGTTCATCGACAAATTCGTAAATTTCCAAGTACCTGGAGAATCCGCTTGTGATGACGATTCCCGAGGCTGATTTAGAGAGATGTGAATCGGCGAATTCGCGAGTTTGGATAAGATTTCGCCATGATTTGCAGACGAGTCTGCATCTGATAATGGTTCGAATCGGAAGTCTCGATAGCGTATCGATTGTTATCTCCGGTGGCAGATTTCTGAAGAAATCTAGGTCCATTTTTGGGGACGACGATGAGGCGTTGAAGAAAACGGCGTCGTTTGGCAAATAGAAATTGGACTCCCAAAATTGATTTTAGGTCCAAACATAAACTTGATTTCCAATTTTTTTTTTTAATCGGAAATAATTCTATATTTTCGCAAATTTCATATTATAGGTGAATAAAAGGATAAATTTTTCAAATTCTGTCGATTCAGATCTGAAAATTTTCAATATTACGACAAATCCGTTCTAAAACAAACTCATTGCCATTTCTAAACAATACTATAATTACACACATAAATCTTGTTCATTACACGTAAAATACGTAAACATGATAAAATATGTACAAAAATCACTCGGACCGCACTCGACCAATGATAAAATATGTACAAAAATCACTCGGACTAGACTTAACTAATGAAAAAATATGTACAAAAATCACTCGGATCGGACTTGACTAATGATAAAATATGTACAAAAATCACTCGGACTGGACTCGACTAACGATAAAATATGTACAAAAATCACTAGTAATGAATTAATAATCAAAACTTACTAACTTTCTCTATAGAAAACCTTGTAAGAGATTGAAAATTAGGCACATAATGAATGGCTTCAATGCTACTTGGTTCTATTGGCTGATCCATATCAACTTCTTTAGTAACTTCACTTTTAATGCAGCAATAAAGCAAAAAGAAATTCCCCCACACAATCAAAATATTACCATCTTTGAAAACTTTGAGAGCATGAACTATTTGATATGATGGGCCAGAAAGTTCTGGAATCTTCTTGATGGAATATTCCCTACCCCAAGATTCCTCCACTCCATATTCCTTCATCACCCAAATCTCAATCTCAAAATTTGAAGTGTTATCACACAAACACAAACAACCCTTCAAAACTCCCAAGCTCCCTAGAAGCTTCCTCCTAGGTCTAAAAGGAGGAGGGATCGGACGGAACTCCTCGTTTTCAAGATCGAAACTCGAGATCAAATCGTGGGCCGCCTCCAAATCTTGTATTAACCAATGAAGACGTCCCTCGAAAAATAATCCGATCGAACGGCTATCGTACGCGAAGGGGGCCCCACCGATAGTCCTCCACCCAGTTTTTCCGAGAGTGTAAACTTGGGTTTCGGAATAAGGGACTCTTACGCAAGAACGGTTTCTTGGATGAAGCTCACGCTCGTGGAATATTCTCACAACCTTGTACTCTTGACTTATTAATGATACACCGAATCCATGCGTGACAACGCTTGGATATCGAACGAGCCCTTTTGGACTAGGGAGTTGGAAATACTCGCGTGTGAGAGGGTTGCATACATACAAGGTTTCGTGCTTGTAATTGACGTCACGAACGAGAAGAAACCCGTGTACGGATCCATCTACGACGATATTCGAATCGGAAAAAATACTTAGATTCTTGAGATTGAATTTCAACATAGTATCACGAGGGAGACTATGGTGATCATATTTGTCATCGAAATGAACGATTTTGAAGAAATTCTTGAAAGTCTCGGTTTGGTGGACAACTAGGCTCGGGATTGACAAGGTGAAATGGAACGAAGCGAAGTAGGGTTCGTTTATCAATTCGAGCCACTTCTTGCACACGGATTTACATTGGATGATTTTCTTAGGAGGGAGTCTTGCAAGAATCTCTATTATTATATGAGGTGGGAGATTGATTATCAAGAAGAACAACCCTTTATTCCTCATTCTTTTAATTTGGATAATTGGATTATTCTAAGTTAGTAGTTTTATAAAGAAAGATTCTTGTGGTTTTAGCAAATTCTTACACGGCACTTATTTTTCAGACAAGGAAAGGAGGAAATGTAAAACACACACTCACACGTACAGTGGGTGTAGTGATTATGAAAAGATAATTGCGTTTACTACATGTTCTCTAGTGGTTGATTATGACATATCATCAAGCTTAAAATATCAGAATAACTTTACTATTTATATTTTCTGTCATGAGGGGGGTGAATTGTATATTTAGACAACCTATGGGGGTAAAATTACAAAATACTCATAGTTGAAGTGGCAAAGTGAAGTAATTCTTGCCTCATCACTCTTAGTTGTTTTTTCTTTGGGGCAACATCTATGACTTCTTGCACGTCTTTTCTTGAACAAGAAATTGCTCCAAAAAATAAAATTAACAAGCGAATAAGACTATACATAAATTTAGGATAAATTACGGTCACCACCTAAAGTAAGGTCAAATTATGAAAAACCACCCTCTTGTTTGTGTAATTTACAACCACCCATCAATTATGAATCTTCGTACATGTTCACCCTTGCAGTGTCGAATTTAATGATAAATTATATGAAATATTCTTCAATTTATACCCGTTTTACACCATTCGAGTTCCACATTTTGAAACAAGATGATCATAAGATGTGTCTCTTGACTTGTAAATATCATATTGTGATGCATCATAAACATATAAAGATATGATTAATAATTCTTTCAACGATCTTCCAAAAAAGTTTTGATCATTAATATTCGAACATGGATACTAATGCTCTTTTCCAGCAGCACAAAACACGATCGACACGAACTAAAATACGATTATAGATAGATATTCTAAAACGACAACATCAGAACGGGTAGTCGAATGAAGAGAACGAGGTTACATCCTCTGCCGGGAAACTCTTCTCGAGTGATAGAAAGCTCGGCGTAAAAGGCATTGCATACATGGGAGTCAAACCATCAAACCTTCCAAACGCATCCATTCGTTTAGTAGTTTTGGTCTCGTTTGAGTAGTAGAACATTTTCAAGTCCTGCCACGTCACTAACACGTCGCCATTCTCGAAAACTTTGATAGGAATAACAAGTTCAGCATATTGACCATAAGCACAAACAAAATCGGGGCTTTTTCGGATAACGAACTCCTTCGTCCAAGAACTTTCATCCCCGTATTCCTTCATCAACCAGAAAGCAACTTCTTCTTGATACGCACTGTCACTTATGCACAAGTAATCCCCCAAAGCTACCAGCACCTGAAGACCTGTTTCCCTGTCGGTAAGTAGCGAAGGAAGCGAAAACGTGCTAAAAGTTTCCTCCTCGAGATCAAAGCACAAAATCGAATACGAGCCCTTGAAATCTTCTACAAACCAGTGAAGGCTCCCATTAAGAAACGCACCAATCGAATAATCCTTGTTCCCCATCAAGCCGCAAGGTTCGATTTTTCTCCATTTCCGAGTTCCGAGAGTGTAGACGTGACAAATCGACTTCGTAATCCTCCGCACTTCGTTTGTACTGCTATGGCGAACACACTTCTGAACAATCCTAACAACCTTATACTCACCACTCACTTCGCTCACCCCAAAACCATAACTGACTAATCCATCAAAATAATGGTGATTGTGCATCCCCTTATTCTGAATATCGATATAATCGCGATTAATCGGATTGCTAATGAAGAGATCGTGGTATTTAGATACATCTGGGTGCAGAAGAAGCAAGCCATTAACAGAACCTTTGATAACTGAGGGGCTAATCGAATTCTCGCAATCCAATTCAGTGACGGGTTTGTACTCACCTTTGAGATCGAGTTCATCCCCAAATTCGAAAACTTTGTACTCGTAGAATTCGTAGCAAGTAACGAGCCCTGGCACCGATTTCGAAAGATGCGAATCGACGAATTCGCGAGTCTGGAGCAGATATTGCGACGATTTGCAGACGCATTTGCAGATTGCGATGCTTCGAATTGGAAGCCTTGATAGAATTTCGATGATGATCTCTGATGGCAGATTTTTGAAGAATTCTGGGTTCATTTTGGGGTTTTTTTCGGAGGGTTTCATAACGTATATTAGGGTTTCGAGCAGACGTATATACTATATATAGTGTGGAAGAATGATAACCCTAGTTCGAGGGAATCGCATTAACCATAGATACAACCGCACAAGAAGAACGACGTCGTTTTTTTTTTTTTGGCAAAATTCAATTCCAAATTTCCAATTGTGGAATCACTTTTTTATTTTTATTTTATTATTATTATTTTATTTTATTTATAATTTAAGAAAATTTTGATCAGTTTTTCTTGAATTTTTGTTTTGGATCGAAACGAAAAATGTTCCGTCGTGTTCATTACACGAAGCTGGGTGAATCAGATATATAAGCATTGGTTTGAATATTTGAGTCTTTCTTTGGTGCATACATAATAACGTGCATTCGACTAGTTAACGAAACAATCTGCCATCAGTAAAACGAACACTGCGGCTTACATTCTCCATTGGATGTGTATCGGCTTTTATGTTATATGTCTAGACGATGTTTGATGAAATGTCTGTGAAGTAAACCAACGAATACTAAAGCAAATCAGATAGTAACGGAGCTTCAATATATGAGTCTACTCGGTGTAAATGGTGTATTAGTAGAAGACTCTTTTCTTACGGAAATTCAAAGCAAAGAGTTTTCAAGAAAAGCTCGAAAAAATAGCCGTTGCCAACATACTTGCGTAATGTCAAGATGTTTCCGATAAGTCAATACAAAGATATTAACGAATTTTCCCAGTGAGGCAAACCATAAGTTACATTTGACATAAAGACGAACTGATAATTCTGACATACTCGACGTCAGAAAGAACTTACACTCTCCTTCCGGAAACTTCCGAGTGAGAGAAAGCTTGATGTATGAAGCATTGCACTCAAACCCTCACCATCATCGTCGTCCAGCCTAACCATATCGAACGACGTAATACTTTTCGTCTTGTTCGAGTAGTAAATCATGTCTATTTCATCCCACGCCATCAAGATATCGCCATCTTTGAAAACTTTGATAGGAGAAACAACTTGTCGACAATCATCACAATCACAAACATACCCACCATCTTTTTTTACGACAAATTCCTTTCTCCACGATTTGTCGTCTCCATACACCTTCATCGACCATATAACAATTTCATCAAACGTATTATCACACGCACATAGGCAATCCCCCAAAACCACTAGGCCCACAAGAAATTTTTTGCTCACCGGAAAAATAGGAGGAGCAAACGTGCTAAAAGTTTCCGTCTCGATATTAAAGCAAGAAACACAATGAGATCCGTCTGCATTTTCTACCATCCAGTGAATATTTCCATTAACAGATGCCCCAATCGAACGACTGCCGTATATAAACGGGGCAGGAGGGGCAATGCTTCTCCATAATCCTGTTCCGAGAACATATACGAGACAAATGGACTTGGTAACGTTCGACAATAAATGCGCAGCGGTATCGCATTCACGCCTATTATCAATTTCATGGAAAACCCTAATCACCTTATGCTGGCGAGTAATTTTGCTAACCCCAAATACAGAAGTGACCATTCTAGAATCGGAGTAAAAAATCCCATCGTATGGTAACTCAATATACTCGCGAGTTATTGGATTGCAGATGTAAAGAGAGTCGTAATTAGAGACTTTTCTGATGAAGAAAAGCAGGCCACTAGCTGAACCCTTTAGCTCGGAGGAATCGGCGAATCCCATTGAGTTGAATTTGGTGACTGTGTTGTAGTGAAGATCGTGAGTTTCGAGACCGAGTTCGTCGACAAATTCGAAAATTCTGTAGTTTTCCGGGTCCCAATCGTGGCCGATAAGTAATCCGGGAACCGATTTCGAGAGATGGAAATCGAGAAATTCGCGGCTTCGGAGTAGCTCTCGCCATGAATTGCAGACACATTTGCAGATCGCGATTCTTCGAATTGGAAGCCGTGATAGGATATCGATGGTGATCTCTAATGGCAGATTTCTGAAGAGTTGTAAATTTGATATGGGATTTCTTCTTGGCTCCTTCATCTGGTGATTTGGGAACACAAACCCTAGATTTTTACAGAAGAAAATTCCCCTGTGGCGGAGCACTGTCAGATGGAAACGACGTCGTCACGAGTTTAGAGGCGGAGCAATGTTAGATGGAAACGACGCCGTTTGACAACCAGCTGGAATTGTTCATTATTGATTTCTTATATTTTGATTCTCGTTTTTTTTCTGATTTTTCTTTATTGGAATAGATTATATATAAATCTGTCTGATTCTATATTTTTAAAATTTAATTTCAATTTGCAATAATTTCATTTTTTTTCTTTCAAAAATATATTTACAGTAATAGTATAAGTACATATTAATATGATACATTTTAAAATTTAATTATCAAAGTAACAAAATTGATAATTTCTGCCAAAACAAACTAAAGCAAAAAATAAAAAATAAATACAAGAACTGAGAAAATCGAAAATAAAAGATAAATTCACGCATCAAGTTTTCGTTTCGTAATTTCTTCAACGATATCTGCAAAAGTTCGGATCATTAATATTCGAACAAGGATACTAATGCTTTTATTTTTTCAGTGGGACAAACAAAAACGGAACAATCAGAATCAGCTTAGTACCAACCAACCAACCGTTAATGAAAACGACGGAACGAGGTTACATACTCTTTCGGGAAACTTTTTAGTGAGAGAAAGCTCGGCGTATGAACCATTGCCTCCATATGAGTATCCATTCCAAACACAGCCATTCGTTTACTAGTTTTAGTCTTGCCCGAGTAGTAGCACATGTATGCGTTGCCAAACAACATCAACGCGTGACCATCTTTGAAAACTTTGATAGGATAAAGAATTTCCCCAGATGATACACCATACGGACAAACAAACCGATCACTTTTTCCGATAACAAATTGCTTCGTCCAAGATTTTGCGTCTCCGTAGTCCTTCATAACCCAAAAAGCAACGTCATCTTCAAATGTATTGTCGCACACACATAAGTAATCCCCCGAAGCTACTACGATATGCAGATGTCCGTTTCTCCTCCTCGAAAGAGGCGGGGGATCGAACGTGCTAAAAGTCTCTGTCTCGAGATCAAAGCAACAAATCGAAAGTGGGGCCGTGAAATCTTCTACAACCCAATGAAGACATCCGTTAAGAAACGCCCCGTTCGAATTACGGTCGTTTCTCAACGGTACGCCAGGTGGCGTGATTCTTCTCCATTTCCCCGTTCCAAGTGTGTAAACGTGACATATAGACTTAAGCCTCCGAACAATCCTAACAACCTTATACTGGCCGGTAACTTTGCTCACCCCAAATCCGTAATTGGCCGGACAATCCAACGGATATCCGAGAAAGCGCTCGTCATACGGAAACTCGATAAACTCACGAGTGATTGGATTGCATATGTAATAATCAGAGGGATAGGAGGATACCGGGCTCAAAAAGAGCAAGCCATTAACAGAGCCTTTTATATCCAAGATGCTAATTGCCAGTGTACTGCAATCGAATCGTGCTACCGGTTTGTAGCGAAGATCGGAATCTTCGAGATCGAGGAGTTCGTCTTCGAATTCGAAAACTTCGAACCTGTCGCGGTCTTCACTGACAACCAGACCCGGGACCGATTTGGAGAGATGCGAATCGACGAACTCGCGAGTCTGGATCAGATCTCGCCATGACTTGCGAACGCGTTTGCAGATTTTGATTGTTGGAATCGGAAGCCTTGATAATATTTCGATTACGATCTCCGATGGCAGATTTTTTAGGAATTCGACCTCCATTTTGGGGGTTTTTTGCTTGGTGGCTTCCATTTCTGGGAATTTACGCTTGGTCGAGGATTTGGTTTTCATTATTTCTGATTGGGATGTGTATGTATGTATTTGGGGAAGGATGAACCCTAGCTCGAATGAATCGCAATAACCGCCATGGATAAGTATGAAGAGCGGCTTTGTTTTTGGCAGAGTGAAATTAATTAGGGATTTTCCAATTTCAAAATATGAATTATAGATTGATAAGCAAAAAGAGCGGGAAGTATATTAGAAGAAAAAATAAATAAATAAATAAAATTTGGGAAAATTATAGTTTTTACCCCTCAAGTTTACATCAATTACACATTTGGCCCCTCATGTTCAAACAAAATACATTTAGTCCCTTATGTTTCAATAATTGATCAGCTTTGGTCCTTTCAGTGAATTTACCGTTAGTTCCTCAGTTAAGGCAGTGATGAACAAATGCTTGATTCCGTTAGTACTAACTGAAAATTGACGAAAAATACTAAAACTGTTTGTTGATTTTTTTAAACATGAGGAATCAAATGTGTTTTTTGAGAACATAGGGGATCAAGTGTGTAATTAATACAAACTTGAGGGGTGGAAAATATAATTTTCCTAATAAAAATTGGTCGTGGACTCGTGTTACAAGTTACAACACGCACAACGCGCCTAATTAGTTAGTATTATTATTATTCCGAAAATTACGAGTCTAGTTTTTACTGAATTATTTTACATAGTAACTATAAAAAAATTCTCCGATTTTAATTCCTGAAAAAACACCATTTTCCCCCCAAAAATATATATAATTATATATTCTTATGATTAATAGCATTACATTTTTATATGATGCATTTTACTCTCTTTTTTCCCCAAATTCCAGAGATGTTTCGATATTGTACCGAAAGTTTTATCACAATTTCAAGAATTCTGAAATTCTCAGATGATAAATGAATTTTCCATATCTAAAAAGTCATTTTTCAATTTCTCAAAATAGAAATGAATTTTCATTTCTGCACACATCAAAGATCGGTTTTCAGTAATCGTTTTGCCGAGTAACAGAAATTTCTTCATTATTCGTTAGATTTACTTCTCAGTTCAGATTGTTCAATTACGTCTCGGGTTTTATCTTATGTTCTGAAGAAAATGACCAATACTGCAGTAAAGCATATACAGCAGCAATGGAGCTCGAATATTAGACGACCCTGTCAGTAAATGGTTCATGGATACAAATAAAAATAAGCAATCAAGTAATGGATACGTCTTATATTCATCGAGGACACAATTCTTGCCGTACCATACATTACACGAAAAACAATAACCAGCGGATAAAACTAACCGATGAAACGGCAAAATAAAAGAAACAAAATGCATCAAGTGTTTGATCATCATTAATACCTGAGCAAAAGGATACTAATGCTTAATTTTTCCTAATTGGATTGTGATGTTTCAATAATCACCTAAACCAAAAGAATTTGGTCACGTTCTCTCTCGGGAAAGTCTTGAGCGAAAGAAAGCTCGGCGTATAAAGCATTGCCTGCATGGGACTAGCAACCCTAGTCATTAACTTCCGGTTCTTTTGAGTAATTTTAGTTTTGTTGGAGTAGTAAAACATGTCGTAGAACCAGCTATAGTCTCGCTGCCACGTCATCAACACATGACCGTCTTTGAAAAGTTTGATAGGATAAACGGTTCCACGAGGTTGTTCACCATAACAATGTCCATAATCTTTTCGAATAACAAATTGCTTTGTCCAAGATTTCTCATTTCCGTATTCCTTCATAACCCAAAAATCAATTTCGTCGTCTGTATTGTCGCATATACACAAGCAATCCCCCAGAGCTACTAGGTTCGGAGAATGTCGTCTCCACAGAAGAGGCGGATGAGAAAACGTACTGAAAGTTTCCGTCTCAAGATCGAAGCAAGAAATCAAACCAGAGCTCTCGTAATCTTGTAAAAACCAGTGAAGGCATCCATTAATAAACGCCCCATTCGAATAGTCGTTTCTTCCCAATCGGGCACCACAGGCAATTCTTCTCCATTTTCCTGTTCCGAGAGTGTACACGTGGCAAATAGACTTCCTAACATGAACAATCTTAACCACCTTATACTGTCCACTCACATTGCTCACCCCAAATCCGTAATTGACCGTTCCTTTGAAATCTTCTTCGAGCAGCCTCTGTTCGTACGGAAACTTGATATACTCGCGAGTGATTGGATTGCATATGTAATAATCAGAGGATATAGAGCTTAACGGGTGCATAAAAAGCAAGCCGTTAACGGAACCTCTTAAATCGCATATGCTAAGGCCCAATCCACTGCAATCAAAGCTCGTTAATGAATCGTAGTTACGATCGGGATCTTCGAGATCGAGTTCGTCTTCGAATGCAAAAACGTGGTAACTGTCGAAGTCAAAACAGGTAACCAGGCCCGAGACAGATCTAGGAAGATAAAAATTGGCGAAATCGAGAGTTTGGATCAGATCTCGCCATGACTTACGAACGCGTCTGCAGATTCCGATTGTTCGAAGCGGAAGCCTTGACAGAATTTCGATTACGATCTCCGATGGCAGATTTTTTAAGAATTCTACCTCCTTTTTGGGGGTTTTTTGCTTGGCGGATTTCATTTCTGGGGATTTGCGCTTCGTCGAGAAAATATGAATGTGTGTATGAATTTGGGGGAAGGATAAACCCTAGCTCGAGAGAATCGCAATAACCGCCATGGATAAGAATGAAGAGCGGCGTTGTTTTGGCAGAGTGAATTAATTAGGGCTTTTTCAATTTCATAATATGAGTTAGCAAAAAGAGCGGGAAATAAATATATTATCATATGAAAATTGGGCTTTTTTTTAAGAAGAATAATAATTAAATAAATATTGGTCGTGTGTGTTACACGCACGACGCACCTCATAAGTGGTGGGTGGAAATGGAACAAAATTTTCAATTCAACCAATTTATATTCCAAATTATTTGTTTTCGGAATAAATATTGCTTTTCTAGCAATTTTTTGAAATAAATTGTATACTGTTTTTAAATAAATTTACGTTAAGTATTTTTTTATGTATAATAAAATATTAAATTGACATGGTAAAAAGGAAAAAAAAAATTATATTTTTGGAGCAGTTAAATAGTTTTTTCTTACAAAAGCTGAAATTCGTGAAATTGTTCGAAATAAACTTCCATTTTTTTGAATTTTCTGAGATGAAATTCAATTTTTTAATTCCAAAAAAATTAAGAAGTGTTATCTCACCTTCTCTAATATCTCATTGCATATTTACAGAAAATATTTAGGAAAACACATTTACGACTTGAGCAGTTTTTTTTTTTCGATCGAACTTGAGCAGCTTTTTTTTCGATCGAACTTGAGCAGCTTTTTTTTTTCTCAATCGAACTTGAGCAGCTTTTTTTTTTCTCAATCGAACTTGAGCAGCTTTAGTCGCTCCATAAGTTTATGAATTAGCTTATCAATACATACATTAGACATCACAAGTGTGGAAGCATGGGGAAATTGCAACGAAAACGAAAAGTAACAATGAGCGGAAAAAAACAGAGAAAACGGAAAATACAAGAGAAATTTATGCATCCAGATTTCATTTCATAACTACTTCATTGATCTTCCGCAAAAGTTTTGATCCTTAATTTGAACAAGGATATACACTATATGCTACTTTTTTCTTCAATGGGATCGAAAATAAGAGAATTCGGTCACAAACTCGTTCGGGAAACTTTTGAGTGAAAGAAAGCTCGGCGTAAAGAGCAATGCATCCATGTGAGAACCAGCCCCTGATATTCCAAACACATTATACGCATCGAATAGCGTAGTCGTTTTAGTCTTGTTGGAGTAGTAGAACATGTTTAACAACATGTTTACGCCTAAATGCTCCTCCCACGTCATCAACACGTGTCCATCTTTGAAAATTTTGATAGGACAGACAATTCCATTCGACTGACCGTAATCACTAACAAGCTCAGGGGTTTTTCCGATAACGAATTCCTTCGTCCAAGACTCGTCATTTCCATATTCCTTCATCATCCAGAAAGCAATTTCGTGTTCGCCTCTGTTATCGCATATACACAAGCAGTCGCCCAAAGCTACTAGGACCTCGTAACTTTTGAACATCGAAACTGGCGGATGAGAAAACGTGCTAAACGTTTCCGTCTCGAGATCGAAGCAAGATATCAAATTCGAGTTCTTGGAATCTTCTACAAACCAGTGAAGGCATCCGTTAAGAAACGCCCCAGTCGAGTGCTTGTTCTTTCCCAACGGCGGGCCAGGGTCGATTCTTCTCCATTTTCTTTTTCTTGTTCCAAGTGTGTAAACGTGACAAATAGGCTTCCTAATATTAGTAACCCTAACCACCTTATACTGACCAGTCACTTTGCTCACCCCAAATCCGTAATTTATTATTTCATACGGCTGTATATCGATCAGTCGCTGCATATGTGCATCAAATGGAAACTCGAGATACTCACGAGTTATCGGATTGCATATGTAATAATCATCGGCTATTGAGCTTAACGGGTTCAGTAAAAGCAAGCCATTAACCGAACCTTTTATTTCGAAGATGCTAATGACCAATTCGCAGGAGTCGAATGTGGCTAATCGCTTGTAGTAAACGTCGGGGTCTTCGAGATGGAGTTCATCTTCAAACGCCAAAACATCGAAACTCAGCCAGTCGCTAGAGACAACCAATCCCTGGACCGATTTCGAAAGATGCGAATCGGCAAATTGACGAGTCTGGAGCAGATCCCGCCACGACTTGCGAACGCGTTTGCAGGTTCCGATTGTTCGAATTGAAAGCCTTGATAGAATTTCGATGACGATCTCCGGTGGCAGTTTTTTTAGGAGCTCTCGATTTCGGATTAGATCTCGCCATGATTTGCATACACATTTGCAGAGTGCGGTGCTCCGAGCCGGAAGCCGTGATATGATATTGATGATAACCTCCGAAGGCAGATTTCTGAAATTTTGTAGCTTCAATTTGGGGTTTCTTCGAGGCTTCGTCATCTGATAATTAATGGGAGAACAAACCCTAGATTGGTGTTTGAAGAAAGTAAATGATTGTATGGGCGGGAAGGATAAACCCTAGGTCGAGAGAATGAGAAGGAATTGGGAAACAATACGACGACGTTTTGGGAGAGTGAAGTAGACTTTGCTATTAACTATTGAAGCTGGGCCGAATTTTATTAACGGGCCGAGACCAATTGCAGTTACAGGCTGGAATTATTATTATTAACGGGCCGTGCCCAATGGCAGTAAATGGTAAATATAAGAAACAAAATACAGTTCTAACATATATAAATTAATACAGTCGACACTAGGGAAATTCTATTAATTTAGCGAATTATTAAATTATGGAGTTAATAATTTAACATTTTTTCACCGAGTCGGACCGAGAGAAACTATTATTTAATCAAGGTTATTAATTAATCGAGGTTCTACTGTAACACCAAGTTTTAATCATTAACACTGAACAAAAGGATACTAATGCTTAATTTCCAATGTGACGAAACACGATATCGAAACGAATTTACAACCGTTCACCCAAAATGGACGAATTCGGCCGCATCCTCTTTCGGGAAACTTTTGAGCGAAAGAAAGCTCGGCGTATAAAGCATCGCCTGCATCGGACCACCAACACTAGACATGAACATTTGGTTCTTTTGAGTAGTTTTCGTTTTGTTCGAGTAATAGAACATGTCGCAGAACCAGCTCGAGTCTTGCTGCCACGTCATCAACACGTGTCCGTCTTCGAAAAGTTTGATAGGATGAACGAGTCCACGAGGTCGTTCACCGTAACCTTTTCGAATAACGAATTCCTTCGTCCAAGATTTGTCGTTTCCGTATTCCTTCATAACCCAAAACGCGATTTCATATTCATGTGTGTTGTCGCATATACATAAGTATTCGCCCAAAGCTACTAGGTTCAGAAGCTGTCTTTCCCACGCCGGACGAGCCGGATGAGCAAACGTGCTGAAAGTTTCCGTCTCGAGATCGAAGCACGAAATCGAATGAGAGCTTTGTATAAACCAGTGAATACATCCATTAAGAAACGCACCAGTCGAGTAATCGTTCTTTCCCAACTTGGCATCACACGCAATTCTTCTCCATTTCCCTGTTCCGAGAGTGTACACGTGGCAAATAGGTTTGTTAACATGAACAACCTTAACCACCTTATACTGGCCACTCACTTTGCTCACCCCGAATCCGTAATTTACCGTTCCGTTAAAATCTTCGTCGAGCAGCCTCTGCTCGTACGGGAACCCGATATACTCGCGAGTTAATGGATTGCATATGTAATAATCAGAGGATATAGAGCTCAACGGGTGCATAAAAAGCAAGCCGTTAACGGAACCTCTTAGATCGCAGATGCTAAGGCCCAATCGACTGCAATCGAAACTGGTTAATGAATCGTAGTTACGATCGGGATCTTCGAGATCGAGTTCATCTTCAAATGCGAAAATTTCGTAATAGTCGAATTCAGTACATACAACCATTCCTTGGACCGATTTGGAGAGATGCGAATCGGCAAACTCACGAGTCCTGAGCAGATCTCGCCATGACCTACGAACACGCTTGCAGATTCCGATTGTTCTAATCGGAAGCCTTGATAGAATTTCGATGACGATCTCCGATGGCAGATTTTTTAGGAATTCTACCTCCATTTTGGGGGATTTTTTTTGCTTGGTGACTTTCATATCTGATTGGCGTACGTATGGGAATTTATGCTTGTTACCTTTCATAATTGGTGAATGTATCATGTATGTATATTTGGTGGAAGGATAAACCCTAGTTCGAGAGAATCAAAGTCGACGCCATGGATATGTTAGAAAGGGGCGTTGTTTTGGCACAGTTTGTTTAGGGCTTCCAATTTCAAAATACTTGTTTCATTGGTTAACTAAAAGAGCGGGAATTCTGAAAAAAAAAATGCGGGAAATGTTATGAATGTTGAGAGGCTTGCTTTGAGGGAACAAAAAAATTTCAATTCAACCAATTTATAATTTATGTTCTAAAAGTTTTATTTTTGGAATAATTTATTTTTATTTGGATTCTGAAATAAGACTAGAAAGTGTTTATATACAAAATTATAAAAAACTCGGCTTTCTGATCCAATCATAATTTTCAAAAATTCCGATTTTCTCAAGAAATATAATAATCTATATTTTTTTTTAAAATTTATTTATGCTAAAAGTAAATATAGTTTATGCATAAAATATTAAAATGACCTGATCAAGAGAAAAACTTCTATATTTTCAGAGCATTTAAATAATATTTTCTTAAACTGTGAAATTTTTTCAAGACTGTTCCAAAAAATGTAGAAATTGCATATATTTTTTTGAAATTTCTGAAATTTTATCAGTTAGAATCCGAAGTATTATGTCACAAAAGATGTTGAAGATTTTTTTTCGTCAATCACTCGTTACATACAGACTTAACAGCAATAGTCTTAAACAAATGATTTGCTCCAAACCTCGTCAAATAATACTTGTTATATGCTGCAACCACGAGATTTTAAGCACACATCTCGCTAAATTACTCCAAGACCGAGAAATCGGAAAATAGAAGAGAAATTTATGCATCAAGATTTCATTTCATAATTTCTCCACTGGTCTTCTGCAAAAGGTTTGATCATTAATATTTGAACAAGGATAAACTAATGCTCCTTTTTTATCAACGGGATTAAAAATAAGAGAATTCGATTACATCTTCGTTCCGGAAACTTTTGAGTGAGAGAAAGCTCGGCGTATAAAGCAATGCCTCCACGGGAATACTAAAACCACCTGTTCCAAACACATCACACGCATCGAATGTCGTAGTAGCTTTAGTCTTGTTGGAGTAGTAGAACATGCTTGAGCCTGCGCGCTGCTCCCACGTCATCAGAACGTGACCATCTTTGAAAATTTTGATAGGATAAACAATTCCATTCGATTGACCATAATCACTAACAAGCTCAGGGGTTTTTCCGATAACAAATTCCTTCGTCCAAGACTCGTCATTTCCATATTCCTTCATCATCCAGAAAGCAATTTCGTGTTCATCTCTATTATCACATATACATAAGTAGTCGCCCAAAGCTACTAGCACTTGAAAGTTTTTCAACATCGGAAATGGAGGATGAGAAAACGTGCTGAAAGTTTCTGTTTCGAGATCGAAATAAGAGATCAAATTAGAGCCCGTGAAATCATCTACAAACCAATGAAGACATCCATTAAGAAACGCCCCAGTCGACTGGTTGTTCTTTCCCAACGGCGGGCCAGGGTCGATTCTTCTCCATTTTCCTTTTCCAAGACTTTTTCCTGTTCCGAGAGTGTAGATGTGACAAATAGGCTTCATAACATCAACAATCCTAACCACCTTATACTGGCCGGTCACTTTGCTCACCCCAAATCCGTAATTGACTGTTTCGTAAAAATATATGTAAAACAGCCGCGGCTCAAATGGAAACTCAAAAAACTCCCGAGTTATTGGATTGCATATGTAATAATCGGTGGCTGTAGAGCTCATCGGGTGCAGAAAAAGCAAACCGTTAACCGAGGCTTTTACGTCGAAGATGTTAATGAACAATTTACAGCTGTCGAATGTGGCTAATGGATTGCAGTGAATATCGGGATCTTCGAGATCGAGTTCATCTTCAAATGCCAAAACGTGGAATCTCGTGTAGTTGTGAGAGACAACCAACCCTTGGACCGATTTCGAAAGATGCGAATCGGCAAATTGACGAGTCTGGAGCAGATCTCGCCACGACTTGCGAACGCGTTTGCAGGTTCCGATTGTTCGAATTGAGAGCCTTGATAGAATTTCGATGACGATCTCCGGTGGCAGATTTTTTAGGAGCTCGCGGTTGCGGATTAGATCTCGCCATGACTTGCATACACATTTGCAGATTGCGGTGCTCCGAGCCGGAAGCCGTGATATGATATCGATTATAACCTCCGACGGCAGATTTCTGAAATTTTGTAGCTTCAATTTGGGATTTCTTCGAGACTTCGTCATCTGATAATTAATTGGAGAACAAACCCTAGATCGGTGTTTGAAGAAAATAAATGGTTGTATGGGCGGGAAGGATAAACCCTAGGTCGAGAGAATGAGGAGGAATTGGGAAAGAATACGACGGCGTTTGGGGGAGTGAAGTGGACTTTGGTATTGACTATTGAAGCCGGGCAAGAATCAATTGGGCCGAATTTATTAACGGGCCGAGCCCAATTGCAGTTAGAGGCTGGAAAAAATTAATAGAATATTGTAATTTATTAATTTTAGATTTTGTTATAAACTTCTGCAGTGAAAATGAAGATAAAAACAGAGGCACTGGAGAAAAAAAATTAAAGAGAAATTTAATTTATGCATCAAAGATTTAATTTCATAATTTCTTCAATGCATCTTTTTTCGATGGGATCGAAAATAAGAGAATTCGGTGACATACTCTTTCGGGAAACTTCTTTTGAGCGAAAGAAAGCTCGGTGTATGGAGCAATGCCTGCATGGGAGTACCAATATTAATCAGTCCAAACACACCGTACGCATCGAACAGTGTCGTAGTTTTAGTCTTGTTGGAGTAGTAGAACATGTTTGAGAACATGTGCACGTTTTCGTGCTCCTCCCACGTCATCAACACGTGGCCGCCTTCGAAAACTTTGTTCGGATAAACAATCCCATTCGATTGGCCATAACCACTAACAAGCTCGGGGCTTTTTCGGATAACAAATTCCTTCGTCCAAGACTTGTGAATTCCGTACTCCTTCATGAACCAGAAAGCAATTTCGTGTTCGTTTGCATTGTCGCATATACATAAGTAATCCCCCAAAACTACTAGGACCTGAAAACGTTTCCACACCGGAAGAGGCAGATGCGAAAACGTGCTAAAAGTTTCCGTCACGAGATCGAAGCATGAAATCAAATTAGAGTCCTTGGAATCTTCTACAAACCAGTGAAGTCATCCGTTAAGAAACGCCCCGGTCGAGTGCTCGTTCTTTCCCAAATCGCAGCCAGGGTCAATTCTTCTCCATTTTCCGGTTCCGAGAGTGTAGACGTGACAAATAGATTTCCTAATATTAGTAACCCTAACCACCTTATACTGGCCGGTCACTCTGCTCACCCCGAATCCGTAATTGATTATCTCGAAATGAGTGTCGATCAGCCTCTTGTCAAATGGAAACTCGATGTACTCGCGAGTTATTGGGTTGCATATGTAATAATCAGTGGCTATTGAGCTTAACGGGTTCAGTAAAAGCAAGCCGTTAACAGAACCTTTTACGTCGAAGATGCTGATGATCAATTGGCAGCTGTCGAATCTGGCTATTGGCTTGTAGAATCGCTCGCGGTCTTCGAGATCGAGTTCGTCTTCAAATGCCAAAAGGTCGAAACTCAGATATTCGTTACAGACAACCAATCCTTGTACCGATTTCGAAAGATGCGAATCGGCGAATTGACGAGTCTGGAGAAGATCTCGCCATGACTTACGGACACGCTTGCAGATTCCGATTGTTCGAATCGGAAGCCTTGATAGGATTTCGATGACGACCTCCGATGGCAGATTTTTTAGGAACCCTACCTCCATTTTTGGGGATTTATTTTGCTTGGTGGATTTCATATCTGACTGGCGTGCGTATGGGAAGCTCTGTTTATTGTTGCTTTCATATCTAATAGGGTATGTATGTATGTGTATTATGTGGAAGGATAAACCCTAGCTTGAGAGAATCAGAACGGACGCCATGGATGAAGTAAGAACGACTGGTTAATTAGGTTGAGGGAAGGGAATCAGAACATTGGTTTTATTAGGGCTCCCAATTTCAAATTACTTAATTCACTGGTTAGCAAAAAGAGCGGGAGAAAAGAGCGGGAAGTGAAATGATAATCTTATGTTAAAGAATGAATATTATTTTATTTATGTATAAAATATTAAAATGACTTGATAAAAAAGATTTTTATTTTTATTTTTGGCGTTATTTATATATTTTTTTAAATGAAACTTCTAGAAATTGTTCCAAGAATTTTTCTATCGAGTTCAGTTTTTCGATTACTTTTTTCTGATTATCTACATTGAAGATAAATAATTTGTACATGAGATTTTCGATTAACTATATTTTATTTACTTACGAAATAGCTTACGACATATGGTTTAAACATTTGAATATCGATATTATTGCTTCAAACACAAGTCACGCCAACAGAAACACGACTACAGATTGATATTCCGAAACATGTAAAAATCAGAACAAAAGGACTCGATTCAAGTAGAACTAGCTTGAACTGCTATCAATTCAATAGCATTGTTGGCTGTTTTACGTCAACATGATGTTCGATTAAATGTTTGTGAAGAAAACGATGAATATTTGACTCTTGATTTGGCACATACGTAAGGTGCATTCAATTATAGTTTAATCGAACCAAGTTTTAATATGCCATTGATAATAAGCACATCCAAATGATCTTCGCAGACGACATTCAAGATGATAAGCAGAAAAATGTTGAATTTCACGTTAAACATCGTTTCATAAAACTATAGTGTCTTAACCTTACATCTCAAGCCCGATCCTAAAACATACAAAAACTTCCGTATGTAGATGTATCAGAAAACAGAGAAGTCATAAATTCATCCCGGGACGCAACTTTATCCACACCGTACATTGCGTGAAACATAACAACGAGCAGATACAAACTGAGAAAATGAAAAATAAGAGGTTGTTCCAAAATGTTACACGCAACATCGGAAGGGGCTTACAAACACAAGTTACATCAAAAGAAAGTCAGAAACACGACTACAGATTGACGGTCTGAAACACAACATCAAAACGAGCCTACATTTTCCAACTGGAAACTTCGGAGCGAAAGAAAACTGGGTGTATGGAGCAATAACGCGCCAAAGCCAAGAGCACCGTCATAAACTCCAAGCATATCGAAATCTATAGTAGTTTTAGTCTTGTTGGAGTAGCAAAACACGTACATGTCAAACCATACCATCAATATATCACCATCTTTGAAAACTTTGACCGGATACATAGTAGCTGGACCCGAATCAGAATCAGTTACAAACTCAGCACTTTTTCTGATAACAAATTGCTTCGTCCAAGATTTCTCATCTCCATACTCCTTCATCAACCATATAACAACATCATCCTCCGATGAATTGTCGCATACACATAGGCAATCCCCCAAAGCTGATAGGACCACAGCATATTTCTCACTATATCTCGGTGGAGAAAACGTGCTAAAAACTTCCATCTCGAGATCAAAGCAAATAATGCCAAGGGAGGCGTCCGTAATGTCGACCAACCAGTGAAGATTACCGTTTAAAAATACCCCATTTATCCGCTTAAAGTTTTCGAATGGAGGAGCGTAAGCTACGCTTCTCCATATACCTGCTCCGAGAGTGTATACGTGACAAACAGAATTCGTAATTTTCTCGAACGAATAATCCTCGTACTCGTGTAGAACCCTAACCAACTTATATTGGCGAGTCTTTCTGCTAACCCCAAATCCGTAAGTGATTACTGCAGGATTACTGTACAGAGAGTTTTCAGTGGATGGAATCTGGATATACTCGCGAGTGATTGGATTGCATATGAACAGAGGATTAGGGTTAGGGTTTAGAAAGCGGGTGAAGAGCAAACCGTTGGCTGAACTCAGTAGCTCAAAGCGTTGGTTGAATCCCATGGAGGAGTTGAATTTGGTGAGTAGACTGTAGTGAAGATCGTGGCTTTCGAAATCGAGACCGAGTTCATCGACGAATTCCAGAATTTTGAGATTCCGGAAGTCCCACTTGAAGCCGAAAATTAGTCCGGCGACTGATTTCGAGAGATGGGTGTGCGCAAACTCGGCTGTCTGGAGCAGATCTCGCCATGAATTGCAGACGCATTTGCATTCTGCGATGGTTCGAATCGGAAGTCGTGACAGAATGTCGATTACGATCTCCGGTGGGATGATTCTGAAGAATTGTGGTTCCGATTTGGGGTTTCTTCGAGGCTCTCTCATCGGAACAAACCCTAGATCTCTCAAGAGTTCCCCTTTGTGTGGTTTACGACGTCGTCTTCAAGAACGAGATGAAACTCGTTACTAATAGGACCATTATTTATTTATCTATTAAAAAATCAATTTCCGTATTGTAATAAATAGATTTGGTCCCTATATTATACATTTTATTTAATTTTGGTCCCTAAACTTTTTCTGCAAGAAATTTATCCTCAAATAATCGGGTTTTTTACACTTTCTGTCAACCATTTGATTTTGGAGTTAGATTGGATGGAAAAACGCACGTCTGAAGGCACGTGACCATGCTATTACAACCACTTTATTTCTGATTTAGTGTAAAAAAATCGATTATTTATGGACCAATTTGGTGACAGAAAACATGCAAGGGCCAAAATCGAAAACTGTGTGTAATATAGGGACCAACATTGTAATTATCCGGATATTTCCCCCCTGTTTTCATTTTGGAGGGAAACTTCCCGCTGTTTTCGAAAACCAATGAATTAAGAATTTTGAAATTGGAAACCCTAGTTAATCTCTACCAAAAACAACGCTCCCCCTTTCTTACATATATATCCATGGTGTTCATACTGATTCTATCGACCTATACATACACTAATCAGAGATCTGAAACCCATCAAGCATAAATCCTCGACCTCGGGTTTATATCCACGCCTATCAAATATGAGAGCTACCAAGCAAAAAATCATGAAATCCGCCAAGCAAAAAACCCCCAAAATGGAGGCAGAATTCTTAAAAAATCTGCCGTCGGAGATCGTAATCGAAATTCTATCAAGGCTTCCACTTCGAACAATCGGAATCTGCAGACGCGTTCGTAAGTCATGGCGAGATCTGCTCGGTACTCGCGAGTTTGCCGATTCCCATCTCTCTAAATCGGTCCAAGGAATGGTTGTCTGTACTGAATTCGACAATTACGAAGTTTTCGCATTCGAAGACGGACTCGATCTCGAAGACCCCAAGCGTCGATACAGAGAATTTACGAGCTTCGATTGCAGCGAATTGGGCATTAGCATCTGCAATATTAAAGGTTCTGTCAACGGCTTGCTTTTTTTGAACCCGTTGAGCTCTATATCTGATGCCTATTACATATGCAATCCAATCACTCGTGAGTATATCGAGTTTCCGTACGAGCAGAGGCTGCTCGACGAAGATTTTAACGGAACGGTAAATTATGGATTCGGGGTGAGCAAAGTGAGTGGCCAATATAAGGTTATTAAAACTGTTCACGTTAATAAGTCTATCTGCCACGTGTACACTCTCGGCACAGGAAAATGGAGACGAATCCCCGCGGGCCCACCTTTGGGAGATAACAAGAATTCGAGTGGGGCGTTTCTTAACGGATGTCTTCATTGGTTTGTGGATGACGACGAGGGCTCTGATTTGATTTCTTGCTTCGATCTCGAGACGGAAACTTTTAGCATGTTTGCTCATCCGCCTCTTCCGTTGTCGAAAAGACATCAAGTCATTGTAGCTTTGGGGGATTACTTATGTATATGCGACAATACGGATGAAAACGAAATTGCGCTTTGGGTTATGAAGGAATACGGAAATGACAAGTCGTGGACGAAGGAATTTGTTATCCGAAAAGGTTATCGGTATTGTCGTGGTCGACCTTCTGGAATCGTTTATCCTATCAAACTTTTCGAAGATGGTCACGTATTGATGACGTGGGAGGATCGCTGCAAAGAGTTCTCGATGTTGTACTACTCGAACAAGGCTAAAACTACTGCAGAAGTTCATGGAGTTTTCGGAATTTCTAGTCGCATGCAGGCAATGCCTTATACGCCGAGCTTTGTTTCGCTCAAAAGTTTCCCGAAAGAGGATGTAAGTTTGTTCCGGTGAACGGTTGTAAGCTCATTTTGATGTTGTGTTTTGTCCCCACTTAGTATTCTAGTTCAAATATTAATGATCAGAACTTTCGCGGGAAATTATTAACTTGTTTCCATCTAATTTCCATAATTTCATTAACATAAAGAGTGGTTATAAACTGAAAATTCAGAAATATGTAAAATCGGAGCGAGCGTACAATCTCCTTTCGGAAACTTCGAATCGAAAGAAAGCTTGACGTATGTTCAATTTCATGATTTGATTATGCACATGTTGGGTCTTAGGACTTCACCTGATAGAGTACTTACAAAAAATAGTATGAAATATGAAGTGATGACAATCAAAATTAAATAAAATAAAAAAATGATGAGGGGTAAGGTGGTCAAAAAAAAAACAATTTTCACATGATAATAAACTTTTCCCCCTGTTTTATTTTTGGAGGGAATATTTTTGGTGGGAAACTTCCCCCTGTTTCAGATAAGTATTTTGAAATTGGAAGCCCTAATTAATCCAATTGTACCCTCACAATCCATGGTGTTCATACTGATTCTATCATAAATTCTCGAACTAGCTTTACCCTTTCACCAAATATATACATACACATTGATACATACATACATACATTCGCCATACCAAATATGAAAGCCACCAAGCAAAAAATCTCCAAAATGGAGGTAGAACTCTTAAAAAATCTGCCGCCGGAGATCGTAATCGAAATCCTATCAAGGCTTCCAATCCGAACAATCAAAATCTGCAAACGTGTTCGTAACTCATGGCGAGATCTGATCCGGACTCGTGAGTTTGCCGATTCGCATCTCTCCAAATCGGTCCAAGGAATGGTTTTCTGCAGTGAATTCAACAATTACGGAGTTTTCGCATTCGAAGATGGACTTGATCTCCAAGACCCGGAGCGTCGATACGAACAAATAACGAGCTTCGATTGCAGCTATTTGTGCATTAGCATCTGCGAAATACAAGGTTCTGTTAATGGCTTGCTTTTTTTGAATCCATTAAGCTCTATATCTGATGCCTATTACATATTCAATCCATTAACTCGCGAGTATATCGAGTTTCCGTACGAGCAGAGGCTGCTCGACATAGATTTTAACGGAACGGTAAATTACGGATTTGGGGTGAGCAAAGTGAGTGGTCAGTATAAGGTGGTTAAAACTGTTCATGTTAAGAAATCTATTTGCCACGTGTACACTCTCGGAACAGGAAAATGGAGACGAATCCCCGCGGGCCCCAAGTTGGGAGAGAACACGAATTCGAGTGGGGCATTTCTCAATGGATGCCTTCACTGGTTCGTAGAAGATTCCAAGAACCCTAATTTGATATCTTGCTTTGATCTCGAGACGGAAACGTTTAGCACGTTTCCTTGTCCTCCGTCTCTTTCGTTGTATAAAAGATATCAAGTCGTAGTAGCTTTGGGGGGTTACTTGTGGATATGCGACAATACCGATGAACTTGTGATTGCGTTTTGGGTAATGAAGGAATACGGAAACGAGAAATCTTGGACGAAGGAGTTTGTTATCCGGAAAAGGCATCCGCATTGTTACGGTCAGCCTCGTGGAATCGTTTATCCGATAAAACTTTTCGACGACGGTCATGTATTGATGACATGGGAGGATGAATTCAACACGTTCTCGGAAATGTACTATTACTCGAACAAGACTAAAACTACTGCAGAACTCGATGATTGTAAAGTGTTTGGAGTTTCTAGTGGTGGTAGTCCGATGCAGGCGGTGCCTTATACGCCGAGCTTTGTTTCACTCAGAAGTTTCCCTAACGAGTATGTTAAGTCGTATAAATGGTTCTAAGCTCGTATGAAATTCTCTTTTGGTTTTCGTTTTTTCTGTTTGTATCCGCTCGTTTATGTTTTTCGTGGAATATAAGACGCCTAGTCGCCTAATTCTAGTACTGGCTATATTTCTGTCTTACATGGTGTTTGATTAAATGCTTCTGAAGTAAATTGTGAATATTTGTTTGTGGCAAATATAAATATGCCCTTGGCTTGAATATTTTTTACTCTTCACATAATGTACATTCTACTGGTTACATTAACAGAAACATTGATTACGGATTGATATTCCGAAACCTAAAATACACGATATTAGATTGTTCTTACATTCTCCATTGGGAAACAGCTTTTGATTGAAAGAAAGCTCGATGTATAAAGCATTGAGTCGATACCCCCTTACAATATAGCGAAAATCGTGAGTTAACTTGTGCAACGAAAGAAGAACAGCACCATTTCTGGAAGGTTAATCAAGGAGAAGAAACGAGTAGATACAACTTGGCCAGGTATCAACTCAATTCTTGTATTGGCTATTTTTCTGTCTGTATAGTGTTTGATAAAATGTCTGTGAGAGAAATGGTGAATATTTTGTGGCAATTCAGATACTTGGTAACAGATAGATAGAATACATGCACATTCTACTGGTTGTAATGATATTCAGAAATCTGAAATACACAACATCAAAATGGCCTTACATTCTCCATTGGGAAACAGCTTTCGAGTGAAACAAAGCTCGACGTATAAAGCATTGAGTCGATATCCGAGTCCCCCAATTCGAGTGTATCGATTATTCGAAGAGTTTTAGTCTTGTTGGAGTAGTAAAACAGGTTAATACACTGGCACGACATCAAAATATCGCCATCTTTGAAAACTTTGATCGGATAAACAAAGTCGTAAGATTCACCATCAAAATCAGGCCTTTTGCTAATAACAAATTCCTTTTTCCAAGATTTCTCATTTTTATATTCCTTCATCATCCATATAACAATTTCATCGTTAGACGAATTGTCACACAAACATAAGTCGCCCCCCAAATTCACTAGCCCCCCAAGTAACCTCCCACTCGGTCGAAGAGGTGGAGGCGGCAAAAATGTGCTGAAAATTTCTCTTTCGAGATCAAAGCAAGAAATGAAGTAAGAGCCCGTTAAATCCGATACTAACCAGTGAAGGTTTCCGTTTAGAAATGCTCCAACGGAACGGCAATTGTATACCAACGGGGCACTAGGTGTAACGCTTCTCCATTTTCTAGTTCCAAGAGTGTAAACTCGACAAAAGGACTTGGGAATTCTCAGCAATACCTGTGTGTGAGGATCGCGTTCACACTTGTGGTAAACGTTGACCACCTTATACTGACCAGTTATTTTGCTCACCCCAAATCCATAAGTGACCATTGTAGGATACCTATAGACGAACCCTTCATTTGGAAGCTCGATATACTCGCGAGTGGTTGGGTTGCAGATGTAAAGAGCATTAGGCTGTGTGTTTATTTCGCGCAAAAACAGAAAACCGTTACTCGAACCTTGTATTCCAATAGCAGCGTGCGGGGAGCTAATGAATGCCCTGCGGTCAAGTTTCGTGACTTGATTGTAGTGAAGCTCGTGTCTTTCGAAATCGAGCTTGTCGTCTTCAAATTCGAACGTTTTGATGTAATTGTCGTATTGATAGACAACTAATCCAGGGACTGACTCGGAAAGATGGGACTTTGCAAACTCCTGAGTCTCGAGTAATTCGAGCCATGACTTGCAAACGAGTTTGCAGGTTATAACGGTTCGAACGGGGAGTCTTGATAGAATGTTAATGGTTATTTCTGGTGGTAGATATGTGGAGGTTTCTTGGTTCATTTTAGGGATTGTTTGGTAACTTTTTTGTGTCTTAAAATTTGCTTTATTTGATGGGCATATATATATATACATATATATATAGAATGTTATGTGGTGGAAGATTAACTATAGCTGTATAAAAAAGTATGCAGATTGAGACTTGTCTATGGTGCATTTCTTGACTTGTTCAATGCGTTAGAAAAATTTGAAATGGTCTTAACTACCAGAATTTTATTTTTATTTTGTTTAATTTAACCTTACCTCTGGAATTGACCGTAATTTACATTAATTATTAATGGTAGCTGATGACAGAATGTTCCATTATTTATTGGGAAAGAAAAAACACCTTTAATAAATATGCAACACTAATTACAATTCCTCAGTTTATCATTTTCTTGATACAATTTTATTACAACAGGTAAAAAAATTTGATTAACCTTAAATATTACAACAATGAGAAAGAGAACTTGCAAGATACAAGTTTTTTCTTCTGTTTGCTTGTTACAATGTACTAAAAATTCCCTCACTTCGTCTCGGAATATAGTAACGAAGACGATGCACGATCCCCAAGCTTCCCCGACGACGAAGAAGAAGGCAGCGGCATCGAAGCCGCAAAAGTAGAGACAACGCTAAAGCTACTGCCTGTGACACTATTTCCCGCCACAGATCCTTCTCCACCACCAACCGCCGTCGCGGCCTTAGGTGGCGGCGGCTTATCGATCTCCACAACCCCTTCCAGCATTTGAACAACTTTCCCCATCATAGGCCTTTGAGAAGGCTGTTCTTGAATGCACCAAAAACTAACTTCAATCACTCTCTTAACTTGCTCGATATCAATCTCACCACCGTAAATCCTCCGATCCACAATTGCCTCGAAATTACCCTTCTCGAACTCCTCATAAGCCCACACTGTAAACTTCTTATGTCCCGTTTGGCCCGACACTTCGAAATTCCTCTTCCCACTCACAATCTCCATCAATACCATTCCGTAACTGTACACGTCCGATTTCGAAGTTATTGGAAGATTAGCAATCCATTCGGGGGCCAAATAACCCCTCGTACCCCTCACGCTCGTCAAAGTCCTATACCTATGATCCTTCGGATTAACGAGTTTCGCAAGACCGAAATCCGAAACTTTTGCGTGGAAATTTTCGTCGAGAAGAATATTCTCTGGCTTGATATCGCAGTGTACAATGCAATCCCTACATTCCTCATGAAGGTACGTTATCCCTCTTGCGGTACCGAGTGCAATGTTGTACCTACACTCCCAATTCAAATGCTTACCCGATTGCTCCTCGGACGAATCGGATGTAAAGAGGAAATTATCGAGGGACCCGTTTTTCATGAACTCGTATACTAGTAGCCTATGGCGACCCTCCGAGCAAAATCCAATCAATCTCACCAAATTCAAATGATGGGTGCTACTAATGGTAGCTACTTCCATTCGGAATTGCTTTTCGCCTTGTTCGATCCCTTCTAATTGCTTCACCGCAGCTACGGTTCGATTAGCAAGAACCCCTTTGTACACCACTCCGAATCCTCCTTCACCGAGCTTCTCCTTGAACCCTTTAGTCGCCTTGTGGAGCTCCTTGTAAGAGAATTGCACCGGTGCACCGGATGCGTATTCAAGAAGTGCGTATTGGGCGGATAGCGCACCGAATTTGGGGCTGTTTCGGAAGCACCACCACCACAAACCGCCTTCCACAGCTAACAATCCGATAACCGAAGCCAAAACCGCCACCACCACCACCCAAGCCCTCAACCTCCACCTATTCCTCCCATCACCGCCCGATAAACCGAGAGATGGATTTGGATTAGGCTGCACCGGCGGACAAACCTTAACAAACGAAGTACTAGGAATGGCCGGGGAATGGTAGCCAACTACAAAATCGTTACTCGACTTTGTGTAACACTGCCCCGATCCATCTGCAAGAGCAGTTGAAGCAATGCAAGGCCCGACGAGACAATTGAGCCTACAAGCAGAAATGCCTTGGAAAGTCATTTCGGGTTGGAAATTCAAGAACTTGGAATGATCCAACTGCAGCATAGTTTCTCCCCCAGGACAATCTTGGAGCTCCACTTTTCTCTTACAGCCTTTCCTAGTATCTCTAACATCGTTGAATTCGAAGTTCAGCGAAGGGCACCCGCAGATTGGATAGGTGTCGTTGTAACTGCATATTCCCATGTTGCCACAGAACGCGAAAACCTGACACTGATCGCTTACAGCGGCCCATCTCGGGTTTACGGTTCCACTCCCTTTTACGGAACTGTAAATCCTTAAATTCCCATCATTGTCTAATTTCACAAACCTCATAATTTCGCCTTCGCCGTCGAAATCGCTGGCGTAGGCTAAGTTTTGCGGGCTCGAGAGCGTGGGATCGGAGAGGGTAAGGATGCCGGTGGAGATAATGTCGAGGTTAGGGTTTGTTAGGTTTGAATTTGTGGTGGAATTGAGGCCGGAGTTGTAGTAGATAACGGTGTTGTTCCATGAAAGTGTGAGGTTCCCATTTGTCTGAATCTTGAATGAGTACAGCCCGGATGAGAGGGTGTGGCTGGTGTTGAATTTCTGCGTGGGAACGATGGTGTCGGTTGGACGGTCGAAGGACGACCACACGGCGGCGCCGGAGGAGTTCTTGAGTACGAAATTGCCGGAGTCTTCGAGGGAGGCGGCGGAGACGCCGAGGTTGGCTGTGGCGGAGGACCAGAGGGGGGTGGTGGAGGTGGGGGTCGGGAGGAGCTGGAGGTCGCCGGAGGGGAGGAGGCGGAGGACGGCGGAGGAGTTGGTGGTGGGTCCGGCTTGCCAGATGGTTATGTTGTTGTATGTGACGGCGGCGATGAGGGTTTGTGGAGAGGCGGCGGTGGGGTCTGGTACGAAGGTGAGGGCGAAGGTGTTGTTTGGGGAAGTCCACTTAGAGTTGGGGTCGGAAGCGGAGAGGGTGGCGCCGGGAAGGATATCTACGGCGGAAGTGGTGGTTGCGAGGAGGAGGAGGAAAAGGGGTAACCACCGTGGAAGCTTCATTTCATTATATACACACAGATAAAGATCAGAGCTTTATTTAGTAAATTACAAAAACAAACACAGCAGATAGAGGATTGAGAGTTGAGGAGAAAGACATAGATAGATACATATACACAGTTTACTGTGTTTTTGTGCGTGTATCGCTGGTGAAGACTTTGACTTTATATGTCTGAAATTTAGAGAGAGAGAGAGAGATAGAGAGAGAAGCTGTGGCGCTCGTATCTCGTACGTTAATTTGCAGGTCTTTACTTTTTTCTTTTTCTTTTTTATTTTCTTTATAATATATATTTAAGATATTTTTTATTAGAATAAATAACAATATAAATTGAATTTTACATTATAGATTTAGATTATTCTATGTGGTACAAAATTAACTAGCTACTAGGAATTGGTCTAGAGAGAACATAGAATATGATAGGAGTCAAACCTACAATATTTTCCTTTTTTGATTTGGTAAAATAAAACAATAATCATTTGATCTACTCATCTACCCTACCACCAATTTGTTATCTTGACAATAAATCCAAACTCAAAGAAATTGGGATCTATTCTAGACATTTTGAATAAATGAATAAAATTCTAATTGTATCCAACAAACTAGGTGATTCGAGTTCAATTGCACAAATATCTATATTGAACTAAAATTCATACACAATTGTATTCCAACAAACTAGGTGGTCTCATTCATTATAACTGGTAAATCTTATCAAGTAGTTGTATAGGGGCATGTGTTAGTAATGGATGTGACTACATTCGGCTCAATGTTAGAAACAAGGGTTGAAAGTCTGCACATTAACGTGGACTGAACGATGAGCTCGATTATGGCAGTTAAAGCAACTACAAAGCGACCTAGGTCGTAAAGCGAGGAAGTAGACCGTCTTAAGTAGGTAAAATGAGCTATCAGCAAGTCATGTTACCCTTCACATGCATCGTGGCTTGACACAGATCCTACTAGACTCGTCTCCATACAACTGTGGAACACAAGGAAAAACAGATTTATTCTCTTCATATTATACATTCAACACATCATTCTTTACCTCTCGAGGAGATACCATTTCCCACTTTACCCGACTAATTGTCGGGAAAACATTTCCCGGCACCCCCTTTTTGCAGGTCTTATAGAGCAGTTGAGCTCTTTCTCAGTCGGGTTTTCCTTCGTCTTGGACTTCTCTTATCCTCAAAGCCCATTTGCATTTTATTATTGTTGCTAAGGCCATTTAGAAACTATAACGGTTCGGCCCAAAAGCAAGCCAATCTATTGGGCCTAAAACTCATTAAACAATAAAAAAAAATTATAAATATATTTTTCATCCTTCAAGTTTGTACAGGTTTCACATTTGATCCCCGATGTTCATAAAAAGACACATTTAGTCCCTCATGTTTCAAAAGTTCGACATTTTTAGTCATTTCCGTCAAATTCCCACTAGCACTAATGGAATCAAGCATGTGCGTTGCAGTGACTTAACTGACGGACTAACGATAAATTGATGGAAATGACCAAAATTGTTAAATTGTTGAAGCAAGAGGAACCAAATGTGTTTTTTTGTAAATATGAGGGACCAAATGTGAAATATGTGCCAACTTGAGGGACGAAAACTGTATTATTGTTGAACTCAAATTAACCTCGTATAGTCTGAAGATTCTCAAGACAATTTTATTCAGCTGATCAGTTCAGCTTAAGTTATTACAGTATCAAAGCTACTACAACAACAACAAAAAAAAAAAAAAAAAAAAAACAAAGTGTTTTCATCTCCGTCGAACAAATACGCCGAAACTCCGTTTAAATTTCGGAGAGGCGTTTGACATTAAAAGGGTACACCTCATCTCTAAGGAATGATACGAAAGCCTTCGATCCGATTACACAATTCACAGCTTCCGTTGGATGCAAGCCGTCGAAAAACACATATTCCCTTCTATTCGGACAAATCAACCCTCCTCTCTTGCACAATATTCCGGTTACGCCCACTTCACAGCACGCACTCTTCGCATCGGTGAAACCTGAGTACGAAAAATAATTGCATAATCTTCTAAATGAATATTAATAATAAGTATTTAAATATCACAGATGGAGTTATAATTAACCTCGAATAATAGGGAATCTGAGTATATCCTCTATAATTTTGTAAGTATTGACAAAGACAAGGTTAGAACCGCGCAATCGAGGCCGAATATCGTCGACTAATTTCTTCAAATTTGAATTAAACATTTGAGATGCTCTATCTAATATCTCGACGCAGTCTCGTGTAGGAGATCTCACTGTAGCACTTGGACTACAACCGTTGGGATTTATCGCCATCAAGACGAACTTTCGAGCACCCAAATCGTACAACCTCTGCACAAGTCATAAACATAAATTTTTCGGTTACGTAATATTTGCGAATTAAGTAGTAAGAAAAATCAAGAATCCGAGTATATATATATTTCTACCTTGAGTTGGAGAGAGAGAGTGGCGGTTAAATTTGCAGTAAAATCTTCGAGGGTGATGTTCGTATTGTTGGACCTAAAATAATTGAGTGAGTAGTCGTTTCCGCCACTTCCAACCACAAACAAGAACTCGGACATTATTATTTCCGTGCTCTTTTCGCCTAAATGCAGCTCGAAATCTGGCAGAGTGTCCGATTCGAAATCTCTGATTTGTTGATTCAAACTGGTTACACCCTGGATTAAATTATATTGGATTGGTTAAAGGTTTTATTTCGTTACTGTTGTTTAAAGTGTTCAGAACTGTTGGCAAAAAACAAAATTAAATCTAACAAACTTTTTCTTGCAATCATACATATTTTCTAAAGTGGCAAGAAACATGTGTGTGTGTGTGTGTGTGTGTGAGGGATTTATATAGGATGGATCAGAATTAGCCCTTTCGGAAAAAAAAATCGATTTTTTTCGGAAGTGAAAAGTTAGTTTTGGTCACCAAAAATATAAAATGCATAATAATATTGGTATTTAAGTGTAATATTCGGGCGGGAGGGGGGGGGGGGGGGGGG